CGCTAACCGTGTCTTTTTCTTTCTACGGCTTTTTCGCCCGTTTACCCTGCCGCTATCATTTGAAAACCCTCTTCCGTGACTCGATTAATCGTTTGTAATCGCGCGATCACACGTACGCGTGCTTTACTCGTCTGCCACACTTCTGCCGCCGTCATTGACGGTTTCTTTCGCGATATTTTGCGCTTTATGCCTACCTTATGTTTGAAAAAAAAAATAATAAAAACACGTGTATACGATATACTCTAATACTATTCAGACTGCTGTTACATTGTATTTTTTTCATTTTTCAGGACCATACCGGTGAACACGAACAGCACTACACTGGGCCGATTGAGCAAGTCCACGGGACGTTTGTTGGCGGACGACGTTAATAACGTGTCTGACAGAGCGCAAACACTGCCCAGAAAACTCAAGACGGAGAGCAAAATAAAAAAACAGGTGAGGATCGATCGATCTCTTCCTGTTATTCTCCTTTGTGCGAAACTATATAATTATAACTCACGAAAGATTATTTTCGGGGGGGGCGGAAAGGAGATAGCACATATTATCAGTACAGTTTCTATCACTATTATTATTGATAATAAACGATTGTCGATGAAATTAAATTTCATTTTATTCTGCGGTGTATAAGAATATATATAATATTATTAATGCTGCTGAATATAAAAATTAGACTTAAAAACACCGTAGCAAAGGAAAACATTTAAGGGGTTGTTGTGATCCTCCAACTTCCCCATTGTTTTCGCCATTGTTTTGATATACAACATCCGGGTGCAGGTCACACGCATACTGTTAATATAGTATCCTCCAGCCACTTATCCTTTGGCCATTTTTTTACATTGGTCCTTCTATCACCAAACTGCAGAGTTGTTCTAAATTAAAATTAAAAATAAAACATTTAATGTCGACGGGAAACTCGAATTTCCGATGTTATTTAACGAAAAATATATTCGATCAGATCTTTCTTTTCGAACACTCGGCGGACTTTCGACTAGACCACCGCCCCTGTATACAAGTACGGCCTTAATTAAGACTTCTATCTACTGTACAATACTGTTCTATTATGAAATCGTAAACCGTTTCTCCTTCTTTGAAAAAGTGATCGTTTTAACATTTATTCTCCGCATACTATTTCATCTATCCGATACGTTTACTAATATGACATCGCTTTGCGCTTTGATGCTGCAGGTGCACGCTTCGCGGGAAAACGATTACGGTCTGAATCGGTCCGCCGCGAACTCCGGGAGTATGATCAACGTGTCGTTTGCCAACGGGCCGGCCAAGCCACAACGGACGTTCTCGAAACCGTCGTTGCTCCGGAGCCAGAGCTTCAACGTGCAGCCAGACCCGGGCCACCAGACGCGGTCGATCAGCACGCTGCACCGGCTGGAAGAGTCACCGCCGCCGCTAAAGAGCCCGAACATCGTGAGCATGCTCAGCCGGAGCACCAAAGATCTGTCGGCGGTCACGCCGGACGACGGTTACAGGTCGCTGTCCGGCAGCTGGGCCAGCCCCGGGGAGCTGATGGGCAACGGCAGTAACGCGGCGTACCGCGGTGGCCGGGACGATCCCAAGAAGAAGGTGTTCATGAAGGGGCTGATGGACCACGCGCCCGAGCTGTACAAGACGTTGAACCATCAGGACGAAGACCGCGGCGGCGTCCGGCGGTACTCGCCGCCCGGCCGACCGTACTCGAGCAGCGGCAACTCATCGTCGCCGACAATTAGGCGCGGCAGCGGTAGCGGCGAAGTGACCAACCGGAGCGTGACGCGGCGCGGCAGCAAGGACGATTACACCGAGACGGTGCGGATCACGTCCAAGTCGGACGACCCGTACCGTCCGAGCGTCACGAACACGGTGCAGAATTTCACCAAGAAGACGGTGCCCCGGGACGGCCGGGTGGAGACGATCGAGTCGACCGAAACCAAGACGGTGACCAAGAGCCGGTACAACGGCGGCGACCCGATAACCAAGATCAACGGGTTCGGCGGTAACGGCGGCGTGGTGATCGAGGTGAGGAACGGAAGAAACTGATCGCCGCCGCGGTATCGCTTGTCGTTGTATAGGGTTGTACTCGGATGTATTATAATTGTGTATTAGTAGCGTAACTCGCCGTTTATACGCGCGCGCCCGACGCGTAATATTATTATTAAAATTAAAACGTATTGTCTATATTTATTTACTAACTGAAAGTATAATATAACCGATATAACCGACGGACACGATATTGTATTATAACCGTGTAATAATTGTTGAAAATAACAATAATATTGTATACAATCGTATAGTCGTTGGAACTTTACGCGTATGGACGCGTCATTTTTTTTCGTAACCGTATGAAATTCCGGACCTCGGGGGTCGAGAAGGGCCAAAGTCGCTTTTCGGCGGGAACTGGATTAGCTAGGCCTGACGCGTGATATTTGACGTATGTTTTTTTCCCGCGCTACGGGACGGGCGTCGGTATTGCGAGAAACCGACAGCACTGCGCAACGCCGTTTCAAAAGTCCATATTTGTGACACCGAGTGATTGAATGCGACTGTGGCCCTTCTTGAACTGCAAGGTCACGGACGGATTGTAATAACCACAGACAGACTATAATATCGTATTGGATGTCGTGCGATAAATATATCGCGTCGCATAATGACGATATCGCGATGATCGTATTCTTTTTTATACGCGCATATTTTTTTAGCACACCTGCAGAGATAATTATGTTACACAATAGTATCACCCCACTGGGTGTATAAATACATAGGTATAGGTATCGTATCATGGTTACGTCAATAAATAATAATATATTTATTCTTATATTTTATTATTGTATTGTTGTATATTATAATACTAAATAAAAAAAAAAAAAAAAACACATTACAGTGCTCGGTCAGACTAATTTATTTTTAATACGTGTTTAAGTATAATTACTATGTATATCTACTTATATATTATTATATTATTACCCCTGTAAACAAACGATATCGTGTACGTATTACTAAAAAAAAAAAAAAATTGTAAATAATTATTTAGAATTAAAATCGTTTTTTTTTTTTATTATTATTATTATTATTATTATATTATGTATCGCTCAATAATTTTTTTTGATTTTTTTTTTTTTTGTAAAACAACGGGCGATTATTTCAACTGATGTGAAAATGTCAGAAAAAAAAAAAAAAACAAAACAAAACAAAACGATAATATTAATTATAATTACAATCGCGTAAACGAACGCGAAATACGCGTATTCATATATTGATAACACATTACGAGAAAATAATTAACTGTTGTGTTATCATTGTTATTATTGCGGTCCGGGGGGGAGGGGGGAGGGAACGGAGAAAGAATAATTGGATGTTCCCCGAACGTTTAGGCGCTAATGTATGCGAACTATACTGTGTATGATAAAACATATTATCGGTTAACAAAATTACACACATTATTATTATTATTATTATTATTATTATTATTATTATTATTGTACTTACGTGTTTTAAGAGGAGTTAATAATATTATCATTATTATTATAAATATGTTTTTTTTTTCCGAGTTTAGTTATTTATACAGTTTCTTCCGTCGCCTCCGTCTTTATGACCGCCTGTAACGACCTGTGCCTACACGATTGCGCGAATAGCCAAGCATGCACAGGTACCGCCATTAAATCGCGTGCCTTGCAATAATTATTTAAAAAAAAAAAAAAAAAAACCGCACGTTTAAACGCAAGACAATCAAACGCCTATACATCGGATTTTTTTTTTTTTTCTGTTTCTTTGATAATTCGGTCTATAGTGTAATTTTTTAAATTTTCATTTTTCCTGTACGAATCGCATACCTATACAAGTGTATGATACGTATTTTCAAAGTTATTAATATAACATTTAGTGTACATCAGTTAGTGTGTACAAGCGTACGTGTTTTCAAAGTTTAATTCGCTTGTATTGCAAAACTAGAGGGTGTATAGACATGTTGACACGAGTAGCCCTCCTTCCTTGGGACCAAAGACGGGCATATCGTATATACGAGATTGCACGTTAATTGCTCTGTTGATAACTGTAGCCTGTAATTTAAGTTGAAAACTAATTTGAAAATATCACTAACTTATTTTTGGTAGTATTGAAAATAGATTTGATTTCAACGTGAAGTTTAGGTAGGCAAGTTTTTTTAATATTTAATTTTAGTTTTATTAATACATTTTCAATCAAATTTTTTGGATATTAGCACTAAAATTTGAAAAAATTAGGCTAGATGAACTCACAGTAAACTTCACGCCTAATTCAAATCCGTTTTCAACTCTTATCATTTCACGCTAGATCGATCGGACTAATAGAAATAAGATTGACCAAAATTGCTATGCTGCATAATATACGTTTGAACAACAGTATTTTTAATTGGAGCTACCCTACTCTGACAGAAATACTTAAATAATTTAATTTAAAACTAATCGCATTATTTTTTTTATAATACATATTATAAAGAATAATTTAAAAAAAAAAATTAGAAATCTCGAATTTAAATAACTAGAAAAATATTATACATATATATATTGTTTTTATATACTTTGGTGTCACAGCAGGATACTCCTAAAATGTTATGAAAATCTAAGTATTCGAAAATATTGGCTTTAACCACTTAAAAATTTGAAGACATGCAAAATTCAACACACAAAAAAAAAAAAAAAATGGGCAAGCTCGCTTAGCGAATCGACCTGTATATGTATACATTACATAATAAAATAGTTACAAAATTTACCAATAACATTGTCATCGCAGTATTACACCATTATATTAAAAAACAAACATTAAAATAGTAAAATAATTATTTTCGTAAATCGTCCCGTTCTTTTTATGTTTTTTTCGGTTTTACGCAATTATGAACAAAATTAGTCACCAACTAGATTAAAAATTTAAAGAAAAAAATCTCTAGTCGGTTTTTTTTTCAAAATTATTATCCCCCTTATTAAAAATGACCATAGTACGTTTATTTAAATGAACTACTATGTATGATACGACTTCTGTAGTACGTATTTAACTGTCGTAACTTTTTCTATTAAATTGTATTCCATTCAACATATTTTTTTACAAAAAAAAAAAGAGGAATATTTTAGATTTGTTTTAATTTGTTGTTAGTAATTGAACGTCAGGGATGATTAATATAATACAATATAGGTGTCTACCAAATAATAACCACAACCTAAAATTATACAGGTACACTATGTAATATACATGTATGAGTATAAATAGTATAATAATAATGAAATATTATCGTCTGTAATGTTTTCTTTAAAATACATTTAAAGTATATTATTTTCCTATAACCTATTTATTTTGGACTATTACCAAATAATAGATATTTTGCTAAAACCACTTTTAAATCGGCAATTTCGTTTACGTCCTTGCAAATTTCAATATGAGCTTTGTCCAATAGGATGCAAAGTTGGATGTGTCTCCATAGAACTAGTGAAAAATGAAAAAAAAAACATCAATGTAATGACGTATTTGGGAACACATTTTTTAATGCATTTATGCTTGAAAGCTCAAAATCAAGCGTATAATAAACGAACGTTAGTTTCTTCCGTTTTATTTGGAAGGAGAGCGAATAAAAATGGCAAAACATTACTGTATTGTATACCATGAATGGTACATAGTTGTTAAAAAATAGATGGCGCACTAGAAAATTTACTATTATTTTCGGTACAGCGCCAAATTGTTTGTTTTTTTTTTTTTTTTTTTCATTATTTGAGCGTTCTAATTTGTGTAAATAACCTTTAAAAATAAACAGGTTTCGATAACTTTTCACTTTTTACGAATTCGCACATTTTAAATATCGTATAAAACACAACCGATGTAGCACTAAACTGTGTTGCCAGCGCATGAACGCAACAAACTAAATAAGTATTGAAACTCGTGATTATTGTTAGATTATAAATTCGTATCCGAAATCTTTTTTTTAACTGGAAAAAAAAAAAAAAAAAAGGTCTAATAATAACTTTTATTGTATTGCACACGTACGGACACCGCAGCAATAAAATATAGAATCTATACCATAAATTTCGTCTGTTATTGATGTAGGTTTTACATTTATTGTCGATGTTCGGTCCCGTTTATCTCGCGCACCCGATTGTCATTGTGCCCGCAAAAGTCCCGCCGCGCTCAAGTGTCGGCGGCGCACCATCCGCACGCGGCGCAAACATCGCGTGCCCGTACGTAAAAAAACGCAATGTTACCGAACGGCATCGAAAACCGAAATCGTAACGCAAAACACACGCGAACCCAATCTATACCACCGTAGCGGCAACTGTCGCGGTATGTCAACCATTGATGTGCCGCATGACGCGACTGCCGAACTCGCCATCTGAAACGGCCGTTTCCTCTTGAACTACTGGCGCGCCGCTACCGGGCGAAGTTCACGGTTCCCGTGCGCATTCGAGATACACGCCAGTGACATAGCAAGAACACTGGTCGCCGAATACTAAACGCAAAAATACAATCAACGTACAAATTACGAATAACTAGTGAGCGGTAGCGTACGGTTTTCAACAACGTAAACTCAATAAGAAGCATAACAATGAAATATTGTACATGAGAAAATTAACATAATTATCAACAGTCGTAAATTATAAATTTCAAGCCGAAACTAGCTCGGGCAATTTTTTTTTTTTTTTTTTTTTAATCGTCATTCCGTTACGTTTTTTATTATTTTCGATTTTTCGGTGTACGTAAATCGCCTCGTTCTCGTAATGATACAATAAGATAATAATAATTAGTTGAAATACCGTTTTTATGTAAATATCGAGGAATAGTCGCGAAAACGCATTGTATGTTTCGTCGAATACACCGTTTGACCTGCAACACATACTGTACTTGTTGCTCCGATGGGTTCCCTGAAGTGGATGTCAAACGCCGGCCGCGAACGTTTTCCCGTTATTAAATAAATGCAATAATCGGCAAATCCCCGAATGTGGTTCCACCTACGATTACCGGCATTATAACAAGTCACAATACAGATAAAATGCCGAATTTAATAAATAAATTATTTTGACGCGTTATTGGTGGAGCCTATAATTTAGACGGCCAATATGTAATAAAATGACAAGTGTACCAAGAATACCATCATGTGTCGACCTTTCGTAACACAAATTTATCGACCATTCGGCATTTTTGCCCGGCGTTTAATTGAATTCGTGTTTAAATGTATATTCCCCTTGAACTTTTACAGATACGGATGAATAGTTTTGTACACACAGATATACTATATGACGTTAAAATAAAGAGTAAAGATAATTTTATATCATTGTGATCCGCGTGGCTGTGTTCGTTTTATTTTTATAACATTTTTGTTGCATAAACCCATGGAAATCCGCGGAATATTCTGCGAAAACGGTGAATACCACGCGAGCGAGTGTCGATGTGAGGACTAATCACAAAACCACTATGGTATAATTTCCAATTTAGTTTCATTATCCGACCAGCGTGTGTTCTGTTCACGTCTCGTTAGAGTTGATAATTCATTGTTATTTGCTTATTATATTTCTGTGAAAGTTTATTATTTCTTTATTACCTATTTTATTTATTTAAAACTGAAATGTCTGAAGACCATTTGAAGTGGCCTCATTTGAAAACTCATGTCGAACAACAACTCTCAGAATCTGATAGAACTGAAAAAAAAAAATCAAATTTTTTATTCAAATTCATGCCAAAAATAAAATTAATATCAACTTCTACAAGTTCAAATTCAAATTTAAAAACTCACATCAAGGTAAGTTTATTTATAATAATATATACATTGAAAACCCTAAATATCACTGAAATACTTGACGGTCAAATTGGTCAAAATATAAATGATATATTAGATAAAAAATTGCCGAAACATCAAAGATGTGCACACATTGAATTTAATTGTAACAGTTTTTATATTCTAGAAGCAGAATAAGATTGTTCATTTAATGTACTTGGACGTGTGTTTGCTAAATGCCAATCTATTTTCAATAAGTAGAATCAATCGACACAGTGTGCTGATAAAATTAAAGAAATTCCGGGAAGACATCTTATAACACCAAACGCTACCAGGCAAGTTAATATTATTTAAATTTTAATACTTTAAAATTGAATATCGTATATTATGTTACTTATAAGTGTTTCATTATTAATAATAAAATAAGTTACTATAATTTTCAGATGGAATTCGTTCTACGATGTCATAAAATGTATTGTTGACCATATATATAAAATGAATACAATAATATTCACAGCATATTTCAATCAACTCCTTTCTCAGGTCAAAGAGAGTCTTCATTTTTAATCGAATACTGCAAGTTAATATATTATTAATTATAAGAATGATAGGTATAATGAAAGAAATATAGTAGTTTCATAGTAAACTTACTAAAGAAAAAATTTTTTTTTTTCTTTTTCACTACTCTGGGTAGAAGGAATTGAGAAGGAAATTAAATTTTTCTTCAACAAGATGTATGATACTTATTATTTTGTTATCTCAGGTGATGAAACCAATTGCAACAGGGCTAGATGTTTTACAAGGTGAACAACATGTGTGTATTGGATATCTATTACCAACAATTACATCTATAAACAAAGCGTTAAATGTGAATTTAATAATTTAAATTTCTATAGACCATTGATTCATACTTTAAAAAATGGATTAACCAAAAGGTACTTTTATTAATTTTTTTAATTTTTATAATAATCATTAGAATTCAATTAAAAAAAATGATATATGTATGCCAATGCTTTCATAAAAATTAAAACTTATTTATTTAGTTAAAATGGTAAAAAAACATTTTACAGAACAATTTCATAAATAGCGTTTATATTATTATTCCCCTATGTCGCCCATACATCTATATATTTTTAATTTATAAATAATAATGCACTTATAATATTTTAATGATTCTTAAGTTAAAGCTGAATTATATCATTATATGTTACATGGTACATTAAATATACATTATATTTTCAGGTTTAAAAATTACATGCAGTCAAAAACACTACAAGTTTCTTCCGCATTGGTACCAAAGTTTAAATTAATTTGGGCTGATTCCGAAGACAGAAACACCATAAAACAACATGTTATTAATCATGTGCATTTTCATTGTGATCAAAATAAAAATCTTTCTTCTCCAAGTTCTTCAAATCTTGAAACAAACAGTGAAGATGTAGATGATTTTTTCAGTTTTTCCAATGATGAAATCTCAGTAATTAATTTTGATTTCCAAACTTTAGTTACTAATTATTTATCAAATACTAACATTAAGGTACCACTTGAATTAAAAAAAGTTTATATAGAATTTAACACATCATCTGCACCTGTAGAGAGATTGTTTAGTGCTGGTGGTCAATTATTTGATAAAAGGAGAAGATCCTTTTCTGATCAAAATTTTGAAATATCTCTTTTGTTAAAATATAATAAATATTTTCAAAAAAAATATAAATTATATTTTGTCTTTAGAATTAATTAATATTGGGTGTATAATATATATATATATGTTTATATGTTTATAGATAATATCTATTTACACATATGTGCTATATAGCCACATAAATGAGATTATCGATTATCTTATTTATATGTTACCTTAATGATATGTAGTGACTTTCAACAATGATTGCTATAGTCATGACTCATTACTCATGACTATTTTATTATTCATCATGTTTAGCAACAGTGGAAGTACAAAATTGGTAAATTTTAAATAATTACATAGTAATTCATAAGTTTTGAAAAGACAACTTCTATGTATATAATTAATTATTTTAAATGTATAGTTATTTTTATATCCTATAACAGGTATTTAAATTATTTGTATGAAAGGTTTAAAGCTTATGCAAAACATGTGATTTTATAAGATATTTATTAAAGGTTTAACATTTGTTGTTTTATTTTTTATCTAAAAATATAATACAAAATAATTATGGTTTTACTGATAATTGTCCATGTTGGGCTGAGCCTAGTCTTTTAAACTACACGGTGGCTGCACTTTGTCTACCCAATATAAAAAATATATTTGGGTAGTGGGTACTGCTTGTTTGTTTTTTAAAATTAGTGTGAATCAATTAAAAATATTGGTATCTTAGCGGTTAGGATAAAACTATCAATGGTGTTTTTTTTTTTTTATTTTTGGATGTAAACCACTTGGGTAAATTGATTTGAGTATGAATTCAGAAATAGGATTTATTTTAGAAAAGTAGGTTTTTTGATAGCTAGTTAATACTTTTATGTATCATTTTAAATTTTCCCAGTAATTTTTTTGAGCGTAAAAAAAACTAATATTATGTGTGCAATTTTTTATTTTTGCAAATTAGAAAATTTTAACTTTAAACTAAGTTAAGTTACTTTTTTTTTTCAAAGTTAACTTTTAACTTAACAAGTTCACAAAAAACATATGAGTAACTTTTAATTTAACTTAATTATTTTAAAATAACTTAGTGAGTTAAAAAAAATTGTTAACTTGCCCAGCCTTGCTTATATCATATATTTAATTTACATAAGTAGGTATACAAAACTATTAATTTAGTTAAACATAATGAATATTGTAAATGTGCAAAGTAATCATTTTAATATTTATTACCAACACAGCTAAAAAGTATAACACACAATCAAACACAGTTGAATCTGAGGAATTATGCTCTAATAGTATGTCGTCTAAATCCCAACAAACGTCTTCAATAATTGTATCTAGTTTTTTTTTTTTTTAATTATTAATTTCCTCTGTTAGTTGGGATATATTTTTTGGATCATTAATCAATTCCTTCAATCAGAAACATAAATTACTTAAAAACATTATGTAAGAAATCTGATCATAATTCATGAGAACAAGTGGTATAATACATTAGCTATATTTTATATAATTTTAGACATTTTGATACTGTTCAATTCCCAGATTTTGGAGGCAACTGAATAAATTGTCAACATTCTATACAACTGCAAAAAAGTAGGGGTTTTAAGGTAGTCATCAGGCCCTGCCACCTGTCTTAAGTTTTCCAAAAAACTTCTGAAACATAATATGGGTTTGTTTTAAGAAAATAGATAATAAATATTTAAAAAATAATCTTAACTCTAGACTACTAAGTTAAATTTTGCTGTAAGAACCCACAATTATTTATTAGATAATTTACCAAGTCTGTAAATGATTGTAAAGATATTTTTAACCCATATGTTGAACGGGTAAAGAAATCCTTTTCTCCTATTAAACCTCTTGTTAAATTTAGTTCCCAATTGTTTAACAATTCAACTGTTTGATGTAAAATCTTGTAGATAACAAACACTCCATAACCTTTGAATCATTCATTATTTCAAAAATTTAATTAGTTGAAATAATAAATGGTTCATGGTAAAACAATTGCACTGTATAACATTTAATAAACTTGCTTTTTTTGACATGTAAGACAATTTATAAAAACTACTTTGGTTAGTTAACTCGTAACACAATATATAATATTCAATTTTAATACAACACAGACATGCAGCACATAAAAAACCTTTAGGTCATGACAATCTTTTCTAAATTCCTCAGTAAGGTACTTTCTGTTCAAAGCATCAAAACAATCATTTATAATGAGAGTGAAACTAACGATTTCTTTGGAGTCTTTAAAACTTTCAACATTTTTATTTCTATAAAACTATTCCTACAACTGTTGATCTGCTAAAAATCTAAACATTTATTAATTATTAGTTATTACCACAATTTACGATATACTTAAATTTTGGCTATTACTATTTAAAAAGAAAATAATAATAAATTGGACCTGTGCAGTATATTTGACCTTCATTTTCGAGAGATTATTTAGTTCAAAATGATTTTTTGTCAATTTTGGACAGACTTTAGTAAGACCTTACTACCTTCTGTTTTAAAAATATTTAAATAATGCTCCCATTAATTTAATTTAATTTATTTATTTGCAAATATAAATAACTAATGAATTTGGCACAAATAAAGTTGAAGGTAGGTAGCTATTTTAATACAGTTTTATGTTTAGTTTAGTTTTATTTTTAAAGTTTAAAAACAATATTTTATTATACATTCACTCAAATTATATAAGTTGATACTGAATTTTATGAAATGCATTTGAATGTTTTTAAAATGAAAGAATATTCAAAAAAATAATATAATGAATTAAATGGATTAACATATGATTTCTAAAGTAATTTTGACACTAAATAATTCACGTACATTTTTTTTAGTTAGTATTGTTTTTTGTACAGAAATAATGGCTGATGAAAAATGCTCACCAAAACTAGTGTTGTCAACTACTGATGTAATATTATTTGAACTTGTATTATCATTAATGGTACAATACAAATGATCATTTAATACTCAAAATATATTATTTTCATCATGAATCTTAAAAGTAAGAATATTAGATATTAGAATAAGAATATAGGTACTATATCCAACACAGTTTAAAATTAATATAAGTTCATAGTATCAAGCTAACAATATCATATTGTAATCGTACAATAGTATATACATATAATTTTATGCAAATTCACCTTTCACTTTTTTGGCAAAGTATATAAGACTGAATTTTGCAAAACTTTAAGTTTAGAAATAGCACCGGGTCGAAGTTTTAGTATTTTCAAACATGTCTTTAAACAAATTGAATAAATAATTACATATTTATTTAAGTATGATATATATATATATATATATATATATATATATATATATATCAATAATAGTATAAAATGTAATAAATCAAAATTTTGTTCAAGATTATTGTAATAATACAGTACCGTATACTTGCTGAATCCTTCCTCAGATTCCCATGTTATAATATCATGTATATCAAAATCTTTCTCGCAAACTTTCGAAGTTGGTTTTAATTTTAAATCTAATGATTTTTCCCATAAACTTTTTAAATGATTATTTTTTGGTACACTAAATTTGTTTTTATTAAGTTCGTTACAATAAGGAACACCACACTTATTAACCATTTTGTTAAACTATACCAATCGATTAAAAAAAGCTGGACTTTTAAATTACAATTGATGAAATATGATGATTTTAAATGTATCATTTATTATGCACAATAGAATCATATCACTACGAGTTTAAAATTAGTACAATATCTATACCCATATACTTAATAACTAAATGATATCGTATATTGTGATGAAAGTACTACAAGAAAAACGCTATAAATTTTGCCTGACGTTTGATACGAGCTACGGTTTAAGATATCTTAAGATATCTTTGACCGTGGTACGCGCATAGATTTTATTTTGAATCAATAATACGCGATAATTGTGCTATTAAAATTAACGTATTTAAACAACTACGAGCACTAGGGTTTCATAGGAATCAGCTGTTTCAGATAGTTGTTTCGGGGGGGGGGTCATCATAAAGCGCTATTTGTTATGGGCCAATGTGCATCTTGTTTATCTTAAATCACGGTGATAATGTTTTTATCCCATGAACAAATCATTTTTTCTTTAAATTTAAAATAAAATTATAATTATACATTATCTGTGTTATGTGTAAATGCATGATCTATGTTAATTATACAATATGTTTTTTCCAATTTTATTAATTTTATTGAAAAATATTATTATATTTTTACTGGCATAAAAACAGATAGGTAATTATTCGTATTTTTATATATTTAATAAATTTTTTTGTATCTTTTTTTTTATAAAAATATAAATATATACAGCAGTTCAACAATCATGCTGTACAAATTAAATTAGTTATTGCTACATGGTATAAACAGCAGTCAAGAAATTTTTTTTTTATTTCTTTAATTGTGTCAATACACCAGGTATTTTTACAAAGTTGTATACAACTTACGATTAATATGTTTACAATAATGTTTATAAAAATATTTACAGTAACTTTTAATTTTGATTAGCTTATAAGCCTAGATGCGTATCTGAATCTGAATTGTCTTCTTTATGTTCAAGTAAAATATCCTGTGGTAGCCGTAGTTTTAATCTTAAATTGGCGGATCTTCTGCCAATTTTTTTTGTGTAATGTTCCGTCAGTTTTGTGAAGTTTTTCGTGGACATTTTTAAATTGTTGCGTTATCCAGGTAGGTAAGGTAGGTAGGTAGGCCCGTGTAATTATGTAACTGTTTGTTTCTTATGAACCACGTGGCCTTTAAAGCTATTCTTAAGAATTTATTTTGAAGAGTTTGTAGTTATTTAATTTTTGTTAATGAGGCATCTGCCCATACCAGGCATGCGCAGGTTATTAGCGGTCTTATTATTGCAGTGTTTAAAAGTAGAGAACATTTCATCTGTATTGTTGAGTTACGGTTTAAGAAAGGGTACAATATTCTCAGCCTAGTGTACCCTTGGTTTAATTTTCTGTTAATGTATATTTTTCAGCTTAATTTTTGATCAAGGTGTAGCTCCAGATATTTCACTTAGTCGTCTTTGTTGTTCCATTGGATATCCTGGTTGTTAATTTGTTTTATGGCCGGGTTTATGTATTTTCTTATAATAAATATTTTTGCTTCGCTTTTTGTTCGGTTAAGTGTTAGTTTTGATTTTGAAAAACCATAGGGATAATTCATCTAGAGAGTTTTGTAGGTCTCTTACTGAAATTTCCAGAGCTCAGTTTTGTGTTATAGCTGTGTCGTATGCGAACATTGCCAATTGGCAGTGTTGTGGCGTTGGAATATCATAGCAGTAGATGTTAAATAACGTTGGACATAACACTGATCCTTGTGGAACACCAGCCTTCATTCTGTGTATTTGTGATATATCTGTTCATATTCTGACATGAAAGTAGCGATTTGTTATAAATGATATATGAGTATATTGAGTATAATAGAGTAGGTTCAGAGTTTTTATTTTTGTGATAAGTCCAAGGTGCTAAACCTTGTCAAAGGGCTAAGATACATCTAGGAAGGCTGCCGCTGTAATTTTTTTTTTTCGTAACCGCTTACTATGATTTCGGAGATCCGTTGTAGCTGGTGTCAAGAAAAATGATATACATCTATTTGAGAGCTCCAAGCCGTTTTTTCTTTTTAATATATTAATTTTTTCTTACAGTTTTTTCAAAAGATATATGAAAATGTCTGGTTACCGCGAGTTTTTGATTCATAGTAAAACAATTATCGATTTATAAATCATTATCAATATGCAATATGTATGCACTTGCAAATTTGAAATTAATATGTGATAACTAATGAATAATAATAATACCAACTGGGAACTAGATAATTTTTGCAGTCAACTATGTGTTCTAACGAATGATGGATTAAATGTTTAAATGTTTCCAAAAATTCAGTTTAGAATCTTCAAAAAATGTTTTTCCTTTTTTTCATTATATTTTATGGTAATTCGAATTTCAATGCATATTACTTTATTTATGTGTACAAATATTAATGGGACTACTTTTAGTAAATTCTATGGTTTTCATAACGTTTAGAGGGGTTTATTGCAACTTTTGTAGAGACGCAATTAGTTCCAAACATCAGAATAATTATCCTATCTAAAATGGATGTATTGTTTTTTAAATAAAAGTTGCACACCCATAAAAAAATATCTATGAAAATTTAAATACATTTTGGATATGTTTAAAAATATTCTGTTATAATTGTAAATATTAAATAGATAATAATTACAGTATTATTAAGTTATCATCAAATTAAAAGTAAAACTATTACACAATAAATCTACAATTATAAAAATGTTATGTTTTCAGGTTAATTTAAAATGACAATATTATTGGCGTATCGTAAGTTAATAACAAAATGTAATTCACACAGTTATCACCAACAAAGAAATATGAGTCACATAACACAACGAAGAATGAACAATAACCCCTTATTTAGAATACACAATTTGCAAATGTCTAGAAATATTTCAATTGTGCGTGTATTAAGTTCCGTTTTAAAACTACGATACTTAGTTGGTGGTAGTGCAGTTGGTGGTGCTATAACTTTCTCAAAAGTATGTAATATGTTCATCAAAATTCAATCATACAATTTACAATAACCACTTTTTTCTTTTTACTTCTTACACACAAATCAAATGTAATGTTATAGAAATTTAAAGAATGGAAAGATTCATTACCAGATTTAAGTTGGTTAGAAGATATTTTACCGAATAATGACCAAATTAATAACATTCAAAACCGATTGAAAACAGTTTTTGATAATTTGAAGGATATTAATTTTGGTAAGATCCTAAAATGTGTTGTTTTTACAGTGGAAGAACTTAAATGTGTTTAAAAGTTAGTATCTAGTACTTAGACTGTAAAAACAGTTCATCTTGTATGTTATAGACTCTTCACAAACTATTGAAAAATTGGAAAAATTTAAGGGATGGCTAGAGTATCATATTGATGAGGCGTATAAAGATGCTGAAATAAGTGATTCAAAAGCCTCATGTGAGTTTTTTTTTATTTGTGAGAGGAAAAACAACTTAATATCTTAATTTTCAAATATATTTAATAACTAGTCAGTATTAAAAATAGACATATTGTTTATATTTTGCTAATTATTTTAATTATTTATAATTGTATTATATTACAAAAATTTGTTTATATGGTTGGTTAAATTCAAGTAAAACTGTGAAAGTACTTAAATTTTCTTGTAATAATTCCAAATATATAAATAAAATATTATATTACTTATGGTTGCAAATAACTTTGAACCATCTACGCAAAAACCTTCAGTTCAATTTTTATTCTTATTTAAGTTCTTCCATTTACCATTTTATTTTATTTATCAGTTTATAAAATAAGAATAAAACATTTTTAATTTACAATACTAAAATTTTGAATACTTATTTTGATTGAAAAGGTTTTTTTTTCATTTTGTAATATTTCTTAAAAATAAGGATTCGTTATGAGTTGAAATATTATGATTCTAAATAGTTATCATACGTTCAGGTTTCTTGTCGAGCAATTAGTATTGGGAACAATCGGCTTTTAAAGCAAAATAAATTATAATACTTAGTATAATATAATAAAATCTTAAAATAAAGCAACTTAAAAAAACGTTTTATGTTTCGTCTTTTAATTATTTGGAAAAAAAAAAAAAAATGTACAATTATACAATTCACCAACCAATCTTCGGTAAAATGTAAAAGGTTTAGCATAAAATATTTGTACACATTAAAAATAGTCTTTCATTATCTATTATATATAATATTATCACTGATAATAGAGTATTCACATCTGAAATGAGTTACTTATGGTGATTAGGTACTAACAAATACTATAGATAGGAATACAGAAAGCTCTAAAATTTTGATGGTTCCTTATTAAAATCTTTTAGTCTTACCATGAGAATACATATTATACTTATTAGCAGTGAAATGGAGATCAAAATACTAGTGTCTTAAAAATTTGACCTTCCTTTATTGTCATCTATAGTTCAGTATTGCTACTAATTATTTTAAACCACAGAATACAAGATCTTAGAAATTTTGTTCCACTATTCTAAATAATTACTGAATTATAATAAATTGATAACTTAATATAAAAAAAAAAAATTAAAAATAAACATCAGTATAGAATTGAAATTACTTTTAAACATATTTGTATAAACTAATTATATTTCTATAATATTCCAAAAAAAATAAAAATATTTTCAAATTCAAACCCTAGTAACTTCAAAATACTCAAGAATTGAAAATATTAAGTTACTTTAAACTTCTGCAATTAATTAATTTTTAAGATTTTTATACTAAAGGTAAATCAAATCATGCCATTTGTTTGTGTTAAAAATATTTGAATATAACAATAAATTGTTCATAAAAATTATTATAATTTTGGGGGAATGTCTATACATATCCATTATTTATTCAAATATGTTCAACCAGTTAAGGGGCTTTTATATTTAATATATATGTTAATGTTTATTTATCTATTGAAAATCAAAAATTAATATTAAATCATATACGCATAAATAAAAAGAACATAAACAATTTTACAAACAAAGTTTTCATGGCATAAATATTTAATAAAAAAAAAACCAGTACAATTAAATAAAAAAAATCATCCGGTGATGCCTAGTGACATTTGTTAGTAAATAATACCTCACTTTACGTTAGTTAATAATTGTTTTTTTATATTTTCAATTCTATTTTTATTTCTATCATATTTGCAATTAAAAATTTTAAGCAATACCGCGAAGATAATTAATTGTACAATTTACAGTTTACAGTTAGAGTATGGCATATATATTTTTTTTTAAACTTTAACTTTTATTTTGATACATTTTTTTGATGGTGGATTTCACCCCGCAATATACTAATGAATTTTTAAATTATTTATGTTTTCTTCTTTATAAAATATAAATTAAATAAATCTTTTTGTATAAATCTCCAAATTTATGATACCCCTGTCACTCTTTATATATTTTTAAGCCATAGTAATGTAACTTAAAATATAAAATAAAATGTGACAAACAAAATACTGATGAATGTTAACAGCATAAATGTATTTCACATGTTTTCCACGTACACAAGAAGGTCCATCTTTATATGTCCTAGTGTGAGGTTTTTAGAAATATTTATCTCTCTTTAACCACTTTTTCGAATACTAAATTAAAAGCACCGGGAGAGTGTGTTTCTTTGCTTCATCCAGGGGTTATTCTGATTGACAGTGAAGTCAAATTTGTCATTTTTATTTTTATTTCAGTATTTTCCAGACTAGCTGTAGTAAGGTTAATTTACTTTTGTGGGAACTTAAATTCTTTCAATATGTTAAATAGGCTCTGTCTATGAATAGAATCGTAGGCTTTCTTAAAATCAACAAACAAAACACAGACATTTTTATTGAACTTCCAAATTTTTTCCAATGTCTGCCCAACAACAAAAATTTGGTCCACTGTGAACCTATTTAGACTAAAACCTCCCTGGTAGTCGCCCAGAATTTCTTTAGAGATTGATTTAATTCTGTCCAGAATGTAGTAAGATAATATTTTGTATGTTGTATTAAGTTAAGCAATACCCCTGTAATTATTGTATTTATGTGGGTTTAGTTATATTGAATTTTAAAATTAGTACATAAACAAATATATGTATATAAACTAGTTGAGATAATTCGATTATTCATCTTATATAAAGATATAGTAGCCAATTTTGTTAATTATTTAGATCAATTTACATGGGAAATGCCAAACAGATTGTTTATTTTATTTTACCGAATATATTATTATAATTAATTCCTGTGTTTAAATATTAAATAATAATAAATATTTTTATGGAAATATATTCTATTTGTAATTTTTAAGTAAACCATTACTAATTTTCAACATAAAATCTAAAAAAATTAGTTAAAAAAATATTTAATGTGAACAAATTATAACAAATTCACAATAATTACTTTTCCTCTTGTACTTAGTAATGTATATATAAATATATATATTTTTTTTCATAGCTGAATTAGCCGAATGTATCACTCCCAATAATGTAACAGCTACTGTACCAACATCTAACGATTTAAAACAGAAATTAGGTAAGGATATTTTTAATAAACTTATATTTATTTGAATTAGCAGTTTATTTACTAATTTTTAAAGTGATTATATTATAAAAGAAATGCTGCAAAAAGAAAATATGGAAATACAATTAAAGTATCAAAAAGAATTGGGAAAACTAGAAAAAGAGATTAAAGAATTGCGAAAAACACTTATGCTAAAAAATAATCAAAAAATGAATATGAGGAAACTCAAAGTAATTAAAAACAACATTGTTTAATATTTTATACATAGGATCAGTAATGTATTTATCTGAATAGAAATCACTGATAGATATNGGGATGGCTAGAGTATCATATTGATGAGGCGTATAAAGATGCTGAAATAAGTGATTCTGAAGCCTCATGTGAGTTTTTTTTTATTTGTGAGAGAAAAACAATTTTATATCTTAATTTTCAAATATGTTTAATAATTAGTCAGTATTAAAAATAGACATATTTTTTATGTTTTGCTAATTATTTTAATTATTTATAATTGTATTATATTATAAAAAATTGTTTGTATGGTTGGTCAAATTCAAGTAAAACTGTGAAAGTACTTAAATTTTCTTGTAATAATTACATATATATTAATGAAATATTATATTATGGTTCAAATAACTTTGAACCATGTACGAAAAAACTTTCAGTTCAATTTTTATTCTTATTTAAGTTCTTCCATCTACCATTTTATATTATTTATCAGTTTATAAAACAAAAATAAATAATTTTTAATTTACTTTACTAATATTCTGAACAATAACTTTAATACATATTCTGATTGAAAAAATTCTTTTTTATTTTGTAATATTTCTTAAAAATAAGTAGTTATAAGTTAAAATATTATGATTCTAAATGGTTATCACAAGTTCAGGTTTCATGTCGGGAAATTAATATCAGGAATAATCATAATATATTTCACCAAATATATTATATATAATTCCTGTGTTTAAATATTAAATAATAATTATTATTTTTATGGAAATATATTCTATTTGCAACTTTTATGTTTTTAAATTTTTAAGTATAACATTAAGAGTTTTCAAAATAAAATCTAAATGAATGAATTAAAAAAAAAAAAAAATAATAGTATTTAATATAAATAACAAACTCACAATAATTACTTTTCCCTTTGTAATTAGTAATGTATAAATATATATTTTTTTTTTTTCATAGCTGAATTAGTCGAATGTATCACTCCCAATAATGTAACAGCTGCTGTACCAACATCTAACGATTTAAAACAGAAATTAGGTCAGGATATTTTTAATAAACTTATATATATATATATTTTGAATTAGCAGTTTGTTAAGTAACTTTTAAAGTGATTATATTATAATAGAAATACTGCAAAAAGAAAACATGGAAATACAATTAAAGTATCAAAAAGAATTGGAAAAACTAGAAAAAGAGATTAAAGAATTACGAAAAACACTTATGTTAAAAAATAATCAAAAAATGAATATGAGGAAAGTCAAAGTAATTAAAAACTACATTGGTTAATATTTTATACATGGTACCAGTAATGTATTTATTTGAATAGAAATCACTGATAGATATGTACTCTGAACTGCTGGATGAATTAAATGATTACGATTCAAGCTACCAAACTCAAGATCATTTACCTAGAGTAGTTGTAATTGGGGATCAAAGTTCTGGAAAGACATCAGTATTAGAAATGATAGCCCAAGCAAGAATATTTCCAAGGTAGTATAAAATGCCTATAGTTCGACGTGTTAGTACACTTAAATATATTTTCAGAGGAGCTGGAGAAATGATGACTAGAGCACCTGTTAAAGTTACCCTGNTTGGCTGAACTCAGAAAAGAAGTAATAACAACTTTTAATTATTTATTTGATATAATTACATTAATATTGTCTTAATTTATATTAAATTGAATGAATAGATAGAAATTCGAATGAAAAACAGTGTAAGCCGTGGAAACACTGTAAGTAATGAAGTGATATCTATGACAGTCCATGGTCCTGGACTTCCACGAATGGTACTTGTTGATCTACCTGGTATCATAAGTGTAAATTGAAACTATTATTTGGTAATATTACAACTAATCGGTATTCATATATTGTGAATTTTATTTATTAGATTGCAACCCAAGGCATGGCACCTGATACAAAGGAATGTATTCGTCAAATGTCTACGTTGTACATGTCTAATCCGAATGCAATCATCCTCTGTATTCAAGACGGATCTGTTGATGCAGAGAGAAGTAATGTTACAGATTTGGTGTCTCAAATTGATCAACTTGGTCGTCGTACCATATTGGTGTTAACAAAAGTTGATTTGGCTGAAAAAAATTTGGCCAATTCTGATAGAGTATGTAAAAGATATTCATTAAAATTTAATTTATCTTCCTAGAAAATAGAATACTTTTGTATTTTATCTTTTTTTAGATAAAAAAAATCCTTAGTGGTAGTCTATTTCCTATGAAAGCATTAGGATATTTTGCTGTTGTAACGGGCAAAGGCAACCAAGATGACAGCATTGAAAGTATCAAAGAATATGAAGACAAATTCTTCAGGAATTCAAAACTCTTTAGGTATACCATATTATTTTTATTGATTATTTTTTGTTCATCACACTGTTTATCAATGTTCTATAGAGAGTACATTGGCATTTCTTCACAATTGACAACACGTAATTTGAGTATGGCTGTTGCAGACTGCTTTTGGAAAATGGTACGTGAAACTGTAGAACAACAAGCGGATTCTTTTAAAGCAACTAGATGTAATTTAGAAACTGAGTGGAAGAATAATTTCCCCAGGTTTTTTATTGTTACACGAGACTTAGCTTTTTATATTATTTAGATAAAATAAAAATATTAATTGATTTCAAGGTATTTGGAACTAAATAGAGATGAACTGTTTGAAAAAGCTCGTGGTGAAATTTTAAATGAAGTAGTTAATCTTAGTTTAGTGTCTGTCAAAGATTGGGAAGATAAACTAAGTACTGAATTGTGGAAAGGCATTTTCCACTATGTATTTGAAAACATTTATTTGCCTGCAGGTTATTCAGTGAATCAAACCAATAGTACTGGTAATAAAAATGGGATTATAGTAAAACAATACACAAATCATAATTATTTGGTTTTGAATTTAAATCAAATTTCTATAGGTACTTGATTTTAATTTTTTATTTAGAAAGTTTCAATACAATGGTTGATATTAAATTGAAGCAGTGGGCTGAGGAGCAGTTGCCTAGAAAATCAATTAATATTGGCCAGAGTGTATTGAAAGATATGTTCAAAACAATGTTTAAGGAAAACCAAAAACTCAGAGCCTCTGACGAAATTTTGGAAACATTAAAAATGGCTGTTATTGATGAAACTTTAGAAAGGCATGTTTGGGAAGATAAGGTAAATTAATTTTATTGATTTTTGTTTAAAGTCATTGGTGATTTATATAGATTGATTAGGTATTAGAAATGCTACGAATGATTCAATTGAATACTCTGGAAGATAGATGTATACAAGAAAAACATCATTGGGACAAAGCAGCACAATTTCTAATAAGTAGCTTGGAACAAAATTTTAAAGTAAGTAATTTTTTTATCGTATTTAAAACTGTAAATATAATTTGGGATATTTTTTTCATTATTCAGGCAGCTGAAGACTCTCTGAAAGAAATGGTTGGTCCTTCTAACTTGGAAAAATGGATGTATTGGCAGAGTTCAACATCTGAACAAGCCAAAAGATACAATATCAAATATGAATTGGAAAATCTACTGCACTCTAATCCTGTAACTGAACATTTTAATTATTTATAATTTAAATATTAATACATAGTTATTTTGTTTAGAATCATAGTAATTTACTTAGTAAAGATGAACAGGTTATTATTAGTAACAACTTAAAACAGAAAAATGGTACACCGTGTGAACTTGACGATATTTGGCAAACATGGTATTTAGTATATAGACATCACTATTTCAAAATGGCTCTGGATAATGCACAAATTATTAAAAAACAATTTTACCACTATCAAGAAGCAAATGGCTTACAGGTATACAATATAATCTATTTAAGTGAATACACTCATTATCTTGAAAAGTATTCATTTTTTAAAAATAATTTAAGTAACAAGCAGCTCTAAAATGTTACATTACCATTATTTTTAAGAGTTAAACAACTATCTACTTTTAATTTTCAAATGACAACTTAAGTCATCTTAATTTTTATTTTTAAGGTTTATTTTTTTTTTATTATTATAATTTAAGAAGAAAATGTGCAACTATACTAATATGCACAAGTAAAAGTGATAACAGAGAAAAAATAGATCAACAAACATGAAAAAGATATGATGTAAGAAAGCACCCAGTAGAGCTGCCTAATTTGAATATTTGTAATTGTATCTAATTTTTAAAGGCGGTCTCTACACAATTTTCTTTTTAACTTCCTAAGAGGGTTTTCGGGAATATGGTTTGAAGATATATGAATTATATTAGATTCTGTATAAACTTTTGAGATGTTAAAAATATTAAATTAATAACCGCAGTTATTAGTGATTGTTGAAAACTTCATAACCAAAATTTATTTCAATTAATACTTTTTAATTAATCTCTGTATGAAATTTATAGTATAGGTAACAATTTAAAATTCAAAAGTAGGTACTCATTTCACCACCAAAAATAATGGCAATGCACATTTTAAAGTTGCTTGTTACTTAAATTGTTTAAAAAAATTAATATTTTCTGAGGTAATGAATCCACTCATTTAAATAAATATCTTTAAAATATTATTTTACATTATTATTGAATATAAATCAAGTATTTACTGCTAAATATTTTGATAAACTCTATATAATCTCCAATTAAAATTATTTAAATTTAGATGCAGTGCTCTCAAAATTTTACTAAATTTTAAATCACACTTTTAATTTATTTTTCCCAAAACTAAAAATGAATCATATTAGAATACCACATGGAATCATTTAATATAATAAAGAGTTCAGAGACCTAACTAGATTAAAAAAGGAGGCTCATACAAAATAGTAAATATCCAATGTTTATTCAGATTATTTAAAATTTTCGGATTTACAGAAAAAATGTAACTATTTATCTCATTGTATACAGGCAAATCATATTTTTAAAATTGAAAATAATATTAACCTTAATTATAAATCTTATTAGAAATATTAAGTGCATGATGTAAATTAACAGATGTTATGTATACAATATTTTAAACAACCTCATTGACTGTCCTAAGCTATTGGTTGAAATTGGTTTCCGTGTACCTAGTTGAAACACTAGGTACTTAAATTTATTCGTAGTTCCTAATTATAATACCAATAGTGGAAATAATACATTTTTTTTTCAAGAGCTTTTGTTTTGACTAATAATTTGGATTTCAGCAAATCAGGTTTTTTTGTACTTCCCCACAATATATTTAGATTTAAGGCTTTAGAATTAATACAATTATTACATTATTATTAATTTTGATATAATAGTATTTATATTTGTCTTTTAGACTTACTGTCAAAATATTACAGCAGTTGTTAAAAGGGCATTTACTCGTATATATATATAACAATATAATATATTATTATGACTGTTTAGAGTAAATATTATGAAATTGAAATGTTTTGGAGAATTACACACATGATTAAACAGACTGTTAATGTCCTAAGACAACAAATTACCAATAGAGAAGGTATTATTTAATAAAGATAGATAAATAGCATTTTTTTTATATATATATGTATATATTATACCTTAGTGAAATATTTGTACCGAGAAATAAAAGACATTTTAGATGATTATAGTCAAAGTCACGATATGAAATGCAAATTATTAACTGGCCGTCGCGTAACTTTAGTTGAAGAACTCAGTGAGTATTGCAAAATGTTGTAAAATAAAGATTTTGAATTTGTATGTTTGTTTTTTAGATAAAGTTAAGCAAATCCAAGAGAGATTAGAGGAATTTATACAAGCATTGAACAAAGAAAAATAATAATTTATTGTTTACCATAATTTTTAAACTAGATTTGTTTCTTATAAACATTTTGACTCATTTTATATTTTTGTATTTTGTTTGTGTTAGAAGCTTCCACTGTTTAAATAGATAATAAAATATTTAAGTATTTCAATTTATAATCCTTAATTCATAAATTGAGAAATAGCACTAGCACCCAGATGAAAATAATATAACAAAAATTGTAATTGTTTTAATTTTAATTTTACATATGTGTTAAAATGGTCAATTGTATGACTAGGTATTTAATAATTTAATACTCATATAATAAGGAAACAGTACTAAATAATATAATTTAGCTGAAAAGATTGTTTTATAAAACTTTCAGAAAGCCAATAATATTGTTATATGAATACAATATTATACAGAATAAGAACTAAAGTATTAATTGACTTATTAAGAAAAAGATAAGTACCTACAGTAATTTTCTATTATTAATACATATTTTAAACACTAAAAAACTGATCTAGGATAATGGGGATGGATGCAACCTTTGTTATAGGAAGTTAGAAGAAGTTAGAAAGGTAATAGAGGGAAAATTTAATGTATATTTGTTTAAAATTGTACCTATTTTCCCATTTATTGGGTAAACTCCCGGGAAAATCAAAAAATGATTTCCCTAAAGTACCTCCCTAGTCATATTTCATTTTAGAAAGTATTATCATTATAAATAGAAGCAAAATTTCTGATAGAAAAGTTGTTTACTGGAAAAAAAAATAAACACCATTATAAAACCAATACATTACTTGTTCCACTCAGAATCTAAAATTACAATTTTAATTTGTTGCTTGGACTATTTAAAAATTTGTAATATAATGTAAACAAGTTAGGATAATAATTTATAATACCAATGTTACTAATTTGTAAATAATAATATTTATTTTGCAAATAATATATAACTCCTTGTCAACCAAATCAATAAGGATAGTAAACATATTAAATACAATTTTAAGTCTTAACTTTTTTTAATTTTGAATGTTTTTGTAATTGAATTTTAGCTTTATTTCTATTTTTAAACAACAATGCATTTTGGTTAAAATATTTTATATGGATTAATATTCGCTGTTTACTATGTTTGTTTTGAAGGTTTCCATTTCTCTTTAGTATCCATTCTACACACAATTTTATTTGTTAACTGTTTCACAATGTTTGGCCCTTTAGGAATTGTCTTAGTAATTTTGTTAAATAACCATTCAAGTCAAAAAAATTTTTTTTTTTTAATTCAGAGCTAGGTACTATTAACCTATCATATGGAACATGGTTGATCCATGAGGGTGTTTCATAATCATGGCCGAGCGTATTTATAATATTATTATTCACTTGAGCTGTAGTATTGCCAATTTCTTGTATATTCCATAATATAACTCAATAATGTCGTGGCATGTAAACAAAAATAATTGTACGGCGGGTGACGTCGTAATCTGTTTTGCCCCACTTCTAAAATTTCACTTTATGGAATATCGAGTTGAGACAATGTTTATATTCTATAAACCTTGTATCTAATTCTCATAATGCATAATTAACTAATATGTCTATAATATCTACTACTATAAAATATGACTGATAGAAACTATGAAATTATATGTATACAATATAATTTTTTTGATATGATGTTCAATAAAATTTCATTGTTGTAGAATTTAAATTTATAGTATACAATATACGCGCAGGCCGCCGGTTGCCAACCACTGATATAGGTATTTCCTAAAATCACAAACCTGATGTAGAATGATTGTGGTAGGAAATCCATAACCCTCATCAATTGCACACATATAATGTAATTTAAAATAATCAATAATATATTGAATTTTTGTAAACAATTTATTTATAATCTATCTAGTTATTATAGATCTATACCTTTTATTATATTATCAGGGAACTTTTTTTTATCAAAAATTCATATTAATTTGAAATTAATTCATTACTTAATGAATTCATACCGATTGAGTTATGGGATGCTGTAGCATCCTCAGCACCCCAGCCAGTCTGCGCCTGCTCAAGTTGTTTACAGACAAAAAATTTAAAAAGACACATTTATTAAAACTAATAGATCTCTCGCTAAGCTCCGAATCTTAAAAGTTACCTACTTTTAAATACTTTACCACAAAAAAAAAAATAACCAAATGCTGAATGTAACTTGTTGTGATTTATATAAGTAATGAGGTTATGAATTCAATTATTAGGTACCTATCTTATTTAGCCAAATATTTAATTAAAATTAAAAATAAAACAAAACCATACTTTTTCATAAAAACCAAGATTTATATTTTAGGGGTATATATCAATATTGAGATAAACTGTTTTTTAGTAATATTATGGGAATTGGGGGATGAATCATCTGTTTAATATCATTATCTATTTACCCCATTTGTGACTACAAACAAGTTTAACAAATTTTGAAAATGTATTAAGTTAATAAACTTAAATAAATACAATTTTACCTTTGTAAATAACATAAATATTAAACTAAAAAATAAAATAAAAATTCTTGTCATCCTCATTTTAAATTTTAATAAAATCAAAAAATAATGTAGGTAATTAAAATTTTAAATATAATTCTACAAATTAGAAAATTACTCAGTCTCAAATTAATGATTATTAAATATTTTGTTATACTAATACATTCTTCATTCCACTCAGAATCTAAAATTTAATATATTATATTTGAAATATTTCCTATTTTTTTCTTTTGTAAATTAATTTTTCAATCAAAATTTGTATAGTATAAACAAATTCTAAAAGTAAAAAATTTAATTTAAAGAAAACTAATATAAAATTAAATAATTTATATAAAAAAATAATTTCCTATTTATATTGTGTACCTATTTTATAAATATAAACACAATATCTATATTTAAATTAGAATTATTATATAGGTACATAATAACAAGGCTGGGTAAGTTAATGATTTTTTTTGGAAATTAAAAAATCTACTCAAAACTGGTAAAATTAATAAAATATTTATGGAAAACCTGGTTTACGTAGTATATATGTATGTAGGTAATTTATTTACTGTTTTAGTATATTAATCAAGTTAGCAAAATTTCTGAACACACTCTGGACGAAGCACTTTGTCACTTTATCTACCTGTCTATTATTTTGAAAAACATTAAAAACGGAAAGTTCACTAAGATAATTAACTATTTAATTGTACTTAAGATAGGATAACAAAATCATGGTACACAGATTAAATTCATGAATTTATGAAATGTTGGTAATTCGATTATAAATATAAGAAAAGTTATCATGTGGAAAAAATTTTTTACGATTTTTTAATTTCCGAAGAAGCTTTACAATGTTGCAATAATATTACCTACCTACATACTCTTTCTATTATTATTTTATCATGATAATATTTTGACTACATAAATGTATATAAATATTATACATCATTAAAAATATTTAGCCTTGATCTATAATAGACAATAGCAATCTAAAAAATGTGGTTTTAATATCAATAACAATTCTCCACATGTTGTATTTTTCTAATCTATCACAGTCCCTGTATAATTACTATAATATTGTCATGATCAGTTTTTAGTCATAGATATAATATAAATAACTTTGAAATGACAATACTAGTTAATCTACAATGAACAAAAATCAGTTTCACCCCATTATCAGTGTATTCAAATTTGTATTTCTTTACAACTTTCCTAATCGAATACATAACAAAATTGTGTGCATAAGGTATATTTAATTACATTTTTATAGTTCTGAATCATAAGGTGGACATATTTTTGGCTTATCATTAATGCAAATAAGATCGTTTACCGAAATATAATCACCTCTCAGTATTTTGGTTTAAAATTATTTGTTTAATAAATAATAGTACTTCATTTATTTAATATTTAATTTATCTGCTTATCAAGTATCTACCTATCAACATAGGATAATGGAAAAATGATAGAATACAGTAATACCTACCATTTAAAAAAATGTAAAACAAAATATAAATATAAATGTTATATAATATTTAACTTTTAAATAGTTATTTGAAAACTTAATTTTTAACTGTGATCTGCAATAAACTCATTTATATAATATTATTTGGTTAATAGCAAATATTAAAAAAAAAAATAATACTAAATCAGTCTTACAAAAAAAAAAAAAAACATTGTTTAATAATAAATATAATAATTCAATGCTTTGGGAATAAAGGGTGGAGAATAATTTAATATTAAAAATACTTAACCATAACACCAACATTTTGATTTATTTATAAAAAATAATAATTTTTAATTTAAATAATAACCATTGAATGATAGTGATTAACAATTATTCATAATTGTTTAATTTAATTTAACTACTAATAGCTATCATAAAGGTAGGGATGGAATTAATATATGTGAATGAGGTAATTTAAATTTTTTTATAAGTACATTGGATACTAACATAATATTATAATATGAGTATACATACAACAATAATTAGGTATTGTAAATTAAATTATTTTATACCTCGGTTAATGCAAAGTGTAACTATGTTTTTTTTTAAAAAAATATATATATAGGTATTTTATAAATATATTTAATATAATATTACATGAATCAAAAACAATCAACTTTTATGGTTATTAATTATTTTATAAGTCTTTTTTCTATGTACAATGTAACTAATTGCAGACGATACTGTAGTCGCAGTTGTTAAAAACCATAATGCTTGTAGTGCAGGGTGATTAACAAAGTCAAACACAGGAGCTGCTACAGTAGCGCATACCATAGCTAATTGAACTGATGTGTTCACCTTACTGATAAACATGGGTGCTAGTTGAACATTAGTGTTGGTGACGTCAAATAATTTACTTAATGTCCTAGGTCTAGGTACAGCCATATAATGAATTTGGAAAGCGGCGCCCATTAAAACCAAATCCCTTAGGACAATTAGACTGGTAAGGTATATTGGAATTAAGTCAATGTAAGTCAATGTTAGAAACAAAGTGCCCACAAGTACTTTGTCAGCCATTGGGTCCAAAAAACTACCTAATTTTGACTGCTGGCCTTCAAAATTCCTAGCAATCCAACCGTCGATTAAATCAGTTATACTTGCTATAACCACAAAACTGAGTGCGTATTCAAAATTTCCATTAATAATAAGAAAACCGAGATAGGGACTAAAGACTATCCTGGTCATACATAACATGTTTGGTATAGTCCAAACATTTTCCTTTATGGTATCCTGTACCTTTAATTTTGTTTCCTTAATGTCTTCTAAGATAAATTTACTTTTGGTTTGTAATTTTTGTTTAGTTTTTTGTAAAATTATCTGTTTATCTCTAATGGCATTTTTCAGTTTGTTGTGGCGCTTTATAAATTGATCATTAGCGAAATAAACAGTCGATACAATTCTATGTCTTTTGTACAACCGCATTGCAAAAGGTGTATTATTTGAAAGCGATGGAAAACACATTCTGCACTGAGGTAAGAACAATTTTCCACAACATTGACTTGATCCAAATATATACTTGAGTAAAAGATGCATTTTGTATCTGGTTATTCACTTTCTAAACTATAAAAAAAGTTTAAAAAATCAATTATTAGCATAAAAAACACATATAATATAACATATATTTAATTAAGTAAAAAATTATATGTAATAAAAAAAAGGCCTTTCGAGGTACGGTTTATAATATTAATTTTATTTTTTGTGTTTAAACAACTTTTCTACTAGAAATTTTGTTCTAATAATAAAATAACTAGATAGCTTTTTTGTAGCATTTTGGATTTAGTGCCTTTAACTTGTTATTTTTTAATTTTTAAGTATTTTTCATCATGGTAAAAAAACACAAAATTATGTTAATAATGGTTTCGTTATTTACAATTTGTTTTTTTTTCAGTGATTCCATTAAAAAACAAAATTATAAAGACCTGACATTTTCACAGAATTCTTATATAAGCCTTTGTTGAGGTGGTATAATAGTTTAACCTCTTGCTTTGCGCAAAATTGTATTTTGTTTGTCAGTAATGATTTATCCTTGTATAAAAGTATAAATTAAATAACTGTATGATGCACCCTACATCCCACCTACAACAGTAGCACATCTATCAATAGTATTAATTCTTTTTTTTTTTTTGCATTTCCAGCATTTAAGATTGTATTATAAAACAAACTCTTTGCTCCAGCTTTATCTATCTTCAACTGCTTCCTTCTAATTAACTTATGGATCTACAACTTTTATATTTCTTCTTTTTATGCGAGGCCTACCTATCATTTTTTTTTTTAATATTGAGTCTTCTTCAATTTTTACCATATTGTATAATCGTTTTCTATATAAATATTGTAACTTAAATTAAAATCAATTTTTTTTCATAATATACAACCTAAAATTATATGCAAATTTATGATTTTTTATTTATTATGATTTTTGAAATTTTTAAGTGTAGTTTCAGCTGAATTTTTTAACACTTCTAATTGATTATCCACAACATTGAAGGAGTATCTTATAGCAATATCAACTTTTGTTTTTCAAATAAGAACCTATATTAAAAAATTATATCTCAAGAGTTATTGATAATATTTCATAATAATCATTGTTTTTGATAAATAGTAATTAAAAGAAACCCGTTCATGAAAAAAAAATAAACTAAGTCATGGCAGGAATATACTAGATAAGTCACAAGTACATTGCACTAGATAATAATATTGTTTGATTTGACACTGTATTATAGTTGAAACACTTATTTATTGCTATCAATTAGTTTTTTAAGTTCAAATTACACAAATGCCATAAATTAAAAATGCTATATTCACTATAATAATAGTTACTTCACATAAATAAGTAATAATATTTAAAGATAATATACCCACTATAGTTGATATGTATACAGTAATAAAATATTAAAGAAAAAATATATTATATTAATTTGCCTGAATATATCTAAATATTTGTATGATACTTATATTATTATCAGTGTATGGAAAATAACATTTATTATTTTCATAAATCATATCATTTACTTAAACTTCAAACTGTGATTTTTTTTATGTGTTAATTGTTCAAAAGTAATATTGTTAAATTGTTACTTTTTATGTATAATTTTTTTATTTAAAAACTTGTATATTCGATTTGTAAGGTGAATTGATACCTAATTTTTAATATCATTTACTCTTGATTTTAGTTGTGTAGAATGAAAAATATGTCAAAAGGCTTTATGAAATACAAAATTCCATGTTACTTATGCCTCAGTATGAGTATTATCCATTAGTTACTAATATGTTGAATTCAATGATAATGTTGGAGAAATAACAAAGTTTAATATATTATTAATGTAGGTATGAACATTTTGCCAATAATTTCAGTAGAAAAGATTGTATGATAATGACATTAAATGAATAAATATGTAAAAATAATAATTAAAATAAACAATCATTAACCTATCTTAATAAAAATTTGACACGATAAAGTAAAGAATTAATTTGTTTAAATTATGTGTTTTTTCATCTTAGAAGTAAACTAGGTATACCTAGCTACCTATTATGTTCAATATGTACTCTAAAAATAATAACTATTATAATATTTAAAACAATAAAAAAAAGCTTTTATGCCTATACAAAAATATTCTTTATGACCTTCATTGTACTTTCAAAGCTCTATTTACCTACTTTAATGTTATTTTTACAACAATTCAATTGACACACGGCTATTGATTCGAGTTTCAGGGACAACAAAATATTGTTGGCGGTTCTTTCTTGGTACGTCAATCATTAAAGAATAAACTTGTCATTTGTCCCTGAAAATACATTAAACCATTTTTATTATTATTATATTTTTTTATGTATAGTACACTTCAAGAATTCTATTAAATGAAGCATTAAATGCTTTTAGGGATCAAAATATTATTATGTAGTATAATCATAATTATTATGTAGTAAATCACTATTTGGTTTAGTCACATAAAATATAAAAATCAAACTTATCTGTTATAAAAATTCTGTATAATAGTCAGGCAAGGGTTAAATTTAGTATTTTAATAACTAGGTCACATATGGGTCTATTTTTATTTTTTATCTACCAGCAAGTCGCATATATACAGGGTGTTCGAGAGGTATGAAAGAATAACAGGTTTTTAAACTATTTTTACCCTCCACTATAAAATACTAAAACCTGTTATTAAATATAAGATAAAACACATTATATTAAAGAAAACTGATAAATAACATATTTCTAATAATTTCAAAATAATGCTATACTATAATAGGTCCGTATATATAGTCCAAACTTTTAATATTTAGTCAATGTGTTGAAAAAAAAATAAATCTAAAAATAAGGTACCAATATTTAGGTATTTTAAAAAAATTCCTTGATACATAAGTCATACACAAGTAATAAAATAAATAAAAACTAACAGCAAAAATAAAATTTAACTGAATTTATTAAGTATACACATATATAAACTTTTGCGTTATAAAACTTATAAAACATGACGTTTGGACTTATGAAATAATTGTACCGATTTTTTAAAATTGTAAAGCTAAAATCATACAACACACTTTAGAGAGTCAAAACAATAACTTATTAGACTTATAAAAATGATTCAATATATATACCTACTAAGACAAGATAAGTTAACTGCCTATTGTCATTTTAGTTCAGTAAAATTAATTATGAAGGTAATACTTATGTGCATTAAAGAATAAGGAATAATAAACACATTTTACAAAATTAAAAAAATAAAAATAATGAGTTTAAAAAAAATGTAAAATTGATTCTGATATACTAAGATCAAAAAAAAAAAAAATAGCTATTTTGGGGAGAATTAAGAAGCTAGGATATATGGGATAATTTAGTTTTTAATATTTTATGCAACGATACACCATTGCAAATAAAAAACAATCACAAACATATTTTTATAAATTTGAACTTAAATTACATACATAATATAAATTGTCACATTAAACTCAGTGTTTTTTTTTTTTTATTTCTTTTACAATTTATAAATTATGTGTTGGAATATTATTAAGAAAACTACAAAGAAATCAAAAAAAGTCACAACTAAGTCTAAAATGTCTCTAAATAGTTAATTTTTTTCTAGAGCAGAAGTTATTTACAGACAGAATGAAATGAGCACATATTATAGTAAAACCATTAATTAGAATTTGAAAAATCAATATTCTTTAAAATTATAGGCCTAATTTTAATTCTATTTTAAGATTCTGTAACTCTGCAATTTGTCAACTCTACGAATATGTTTCATTGAATTACAACTATTAAAACAAAATCAAATACAACAGAAACCGTTATTGTGTAAATATTGCAGTTTTCTCAGACCTCCTCATTATTAAGAAAATAAAAAGGAAGATAAAAAAATAACATCCCCATAATCATTATATATGATACACTAATAAAACATAATATAGGTACTAATGTCGTCAATACGAAATACAAATAAAACAACAGAAGATATCAGATTAATTGCAAGAAATCCTATGCTCAGATATTGAAGCTTTGAAGATAGTAAATTGAAATTACTACTTCATAGATGTTTTTATTTCAATTTTTATTAAATATTATACAATTAATCATTGGTATAAACAGAGGTATAAATTTATGATAACCAAATAAAATCCTAAATATATGAATTGAATCTAACATACAAATAAACTTTATTTATTTAGTCAACCTAAGTATGAAATAACGTCTATATACATTAGTTAAAGCAGAATTTAAGTGTATTTGCAATTGAACAAATGTTGAATATTTTACATATAAAATTTCATTTTTTTTACTTTGTTATTTTGCAAAAAAAAATACTAATTTTAATATTTCAAATTTAAATGAGTGGTTTGAAATTGTTTAGACATTGATTAATATTGTTTAATGCTATCTTACTAACTTATTCATTACAGTTTAAGAATATGAATGATAGTTGCTATTAAATTCAACATAGGTATATGCATATCATTATACATTTGTTCATTTTTTTTCTAGGATTTAAAACAATTTTACTTAAAGTAGGTATTATCTAATAATGTCTTTTGATGGATAAAAATGTATTATAGAAATTAGTTTTTGTTTAATTATTGTATATTATAAAAATGATACATTTATACAAGTAGATGATACTCACTTCATGAAGAATTGTATATAATCCAGTGCTAAACTGGTAGTTATCTAAATAGGTATATTATAATAGAAGAATAGATCAAAGCATATAGACTTTATAGTATTCATTAATTATTAAAGATTACGTTAAAATAGTACTAAAGCTAATAGTTGATAGTTGATGTTTATCATTAATAATTGAGAATTAACTTGAGATACAACAATAAAGTCTTCACTATTAAAATATTATAATAAATTGATATTATACGAACAGATAATTTTTTTATATCCATGTAATAATCTTTATTATTTATGCTAACATTAATTGAATAATATTGATAAGTTATCTTCATTTTTTTAAATAAAAACAACCAAGGTGAATCCACCATAGATAATAATGATCTTTGGGATCCACTTGAAATATGTATTAATTTGTAACCTATTTGGACTTAAGGAAATTAATATATTAAAAGTTAAACTCACATATCGTAATTTTGAAGAAAAAACTGTAAATACAAATGTATTTGGTTAATTTTCAGTATTAGATTCCAATCAGGGGGTACAAACATCTGACGGACAGGTTATGTTCATAAAATATCCCGCCAAAAGACAAATAAAGAAAATAAAGAAGCTCTATAATCATTGCCCACTGATGACTGGTGAGTACCGAGTATTGATGGTCATTGACGGCCAAGTCCAATTCTGACGCCAATACATCCATTTAGCTGTCGCTGTGTCCGTTTTGTTTTATTAGTACAGTACACCAGTTTAGTTTTTCATATTTCAATCTGTTGACTTGTTGCCTGTTGGCCTTGGCAGTTTGCAGTTCACAGTTCGCAGCAACGTTGAATGAAGTTGATGAATTATTTATATTAGGCTAATACTATAATATCGTAAGTATAACTAAGCCATGAACATATATCCGGCGGAAATCGAATTTATGGCTGAAAACGAGATCATTCAGATCGTACCTACGTTTAACCATGCTAGCCATGTTCACCTGATATGCGGATCATATGGTCCGTTTCGAGCTGGTCTGCCGTTGAACGTACCTATATGGGTGGCGATGAACCTACGGCAGAAGAAGACCTGCCGGATCCTTGCCCCCGACTGGATGGCGCTAGACAAACTCCAAGAGAGACTCGAAGAAGAAAAGGCATCCAAGTATGATGTGTACAAATATTATACAGCCGTGTATCATTTGTTGAGATTTATTTTTATTCTTCAGATTTTTCACTCAGTTACCGAGCAATTATTACCTGGAGATTACACAAATGTTATTGACAGTAGCCAGTGAAGACATTCCACAAGGAAACGAAATAAAAACAGCAGTTAAAGTAGGTACTCACCTACCTTAATATATAGGTACTAAATATATTTATTTTAAATCTTACCTGTCTAGGTATAAAATTAATTTAGATTTTAAACTATGTACTTATATATTTTATTGCGTGGTTAGTAATTTGGTAGTAAAACCGCGCTTACGCAGACTATACGAAATTTGCTTAGGTTTGGTTTTATAGTAGAAGCATTTATTAAAAAATTAATAGAGAAAAATGTTATGGAGAGGAAGACTGGGTTTTTTTGAAAAAAATAATTTTAAAATGTTTCAACAAATTTAAAAAACATTGAAAGTTGTTATTTATAAACTATACATTGACTATTATATATTTGGAGAAAATAGAAAAAAGTTAACGTCTTGCCCTCTGTAGGGTTGCCACTCTGTCACTTAATTTTTACAAGTCACTTAAAGTCCCTTGTTTATCTTAAAAGTTACTTTTTTCATTTTAAATTTGTTTGTCATAATTTTTTCAAACTATAATAAATTTTACCAAATATTTTGAGATATATTGTTATATAAAAAGTGATATATTTTTTTTTCTATAAAGACTGAACTAAATTATATTTTTGTTATCTAAGTTAATACATATCTTTAATCTTAATTGTAACATTGTTGTTAATGCTGGTTGGTCAACCAAATGTAACTTTTTTTTAGGTATTTTTTGATATTTACATAATAAATATATTTTTTTAACATATTATGTTACCAAGAATTAATAAAAAGTTGTTATAGAAATTTGTATTTTTCAATCCATTTTTTTCAATTTTGTCAAGATGAAAAATAATCAATTCTTTGAATTGGTACATTGTACTTGTAATATAATAATTATAAGTATTTATCTATTCTACCTACATTTAAAAATGGGTATGTTTTCATCTTGCTACAATTTCATGATTATGTCTAAGGTCGCATACACATTGGAAAGTGTTGCGCGGTGAGCGGTGAAGTGTGTATATCAAACAGCTAGCAATGAGCATTGTCTGCAATATTTAGTACATTTCCATTCATCATTTTGTTGGTTAACATGACACTGTCCTCAAAATGCCTATGTCTTTTATTATTACAAAATCGCTTTTTAAGAAAATAAAAATAAAAGGATTGGAGTTCACGAAATGAACAAAAAACTTTTCACTAGATGAATTTTGTTATATTTAAAATGAACTTAGAAGAGATGGGTTTCAGAGATCAATAGTTCTTTTTGTTTGATCAAAAAATTAATTTTTGAGCTCATAGTGTGTTTCAAATTACGTTTAATATATTAGTAACGTTTGAGGACACCACTTACAATTCAAGACAACTTGAAAAATAAACATCACATTGCACATTGCTCACCGTGCAACGCTCTCCTATGTGCACGTGGTCTAATACAAATTATATAATGCATATTATGCAAAATTATAATAACATATTTATAAATTAAGCTAAATTTTTTAATTTTATTGATGTATTAAGCAAGTCAATATCTACTATTTTAAGTACAACACATTGGTGGCAACCCTGTCTCTGGACTATTGTTCTCTTCTGATTTTGAGATGTTTTTACTCTAAAACCAAAATTAAGTGAGTTCTGTGTAGTTTGCTTAAGCATGTTTTACTATATCATGCATTTGTAAGACGGAAATAACAAATGTGCGTGTAGTGTCTTCTGAATATTATTATATACAGTATTTTAGAATAATATTATCATTTTGGTATAACTCTGTTAAGGAATAGGTTAGTAGTTAAATAAAAATATTTCTGAGGACAACGCAAATTACAGAGAATATTAAACAATAAAATGAAATATTGAAAACCTACTTTGTAGGAATTATTATTATCAAATTGGTTATTTATTGCATATAGCAATTAAATTGGTACCTTTTAACTATAAATTAATATTCGTACAAGTTAATGACATTTTTAAATAGCCTTAAACCGGTTCTAGTCGTAATATAATCAGCCCTCTGATGACCATATAATAATTTCCCCCTCTCATTAGGGAATTTTGTTTTATAGACAATTTATACTAACTCGATAATAGTTTTTAATAAAATCATCTTAATACTTTCTCTAAAAGTTCTATTTTGATTTATTTATTTTTTTGATAATATTTTTTGTAATTTGTGTTTTCTCAAAAATATTTTTCCTACTAATATTTTTATTTCCATGTGATATTGTTATATATTATTCTCATATAGTATATTTATTTTGAATATTTTCCTGATTGTGATTTACGATAGCCCTCCAATATTATTAGTATTTTTATTATTATTTTTTTTTTAATTGGTTACTTATTTATAAATAAACAAGATTACAGATTCGCAAGTATCATTATGATATTATTTATGGAATAAAAATAACAGTAATATAGATGTATAAGTAGGTACCTACAAACTACAGAGTATTCAAATATGATATTGCATTATGGATGCATATTTTTAACAATTCTAATTTTAATTTACTTATGCTATTGTTTTTAAAATTAATTATAATGATTCTCAACATTGAACCTAATTTGAATTTCCAATAAATTAAATGAATATATTTCATCTCCAGGAATTCGAATTTACCATAATTAATTATAAATTGTTATTTGTTCTAATTATAAATTTATTAATGACAATGACAATAAACATAATTTTATAATTTTATTATTATAGTCTATTTTAATATTTACCTATAAATTATTAAATTTATTTAAACCTTAAAGATTTGCATTCTGAGTAATGAGTACTAGTTAAAATAATGTTTGGAAGAAAATTATATTAAGCGACTTGATTTATCTGTCACAGACTATTTTGTAAGTATAATAATAAAAGTTTTAACAATTTTAAACTAATTCACTAAATTATTTCTTTAAATTATGACAAGTAATTTAAGATTTATAATAAAATAACTTTGTCTATTTTTCTCAATAAAATATACTATACTAATTTTAATTTTACTCTAAATTATACTGCTACACTTAAAACAGTATATTAATTATTTATGGCTGTCAATTTTAATGTAAATATCTTGTATATATTTTCAGGACTTATGGGATTTAAGAATAGCTAAATTACGATCCTCTGTAGATTTATTCATCAAAGAAGGTCGTGTCCAAGCTTCATTGAACCATTTGACACCAATGGAGATCAATTCTGTTAGGCCAGTATTTCCAGACACTTTAGATGCTTTAATGACACTCCATGAGGTTGGTTATTACTTATTGCAAATGCATTTTCATATTATAAGTTTTTTTTTTTATAAATATACTCGTATCAGGATTGAGTAATTACATTTATAAAAGGTTTACGAAGGTTTTTATTTTGAATGTTAGTAAAAATATATTTCATACATTATAATATTACACCTACTCAACCCTGACTTGTATATGGATTAAGATAATTTTTATAAATTATTGTATTTTATCACATTGATTTTGGTTTAACAAAATCCAAACATGGTAAGTTTTAATTTATCAATACATTTATTATAAACATTTTATTGAACTATCTGTCTATATATTTACATATGTAAATATATATATATATATTTTTTTTTTTATTTAGCAAATTAATTCAAATGACGATAGAGATGATGGCAGCCAATCATCGAGTGCAACCCCTGGGTCGGCATCTTTTTCGTTATCCATGTAGTGGATCGTCTATTCTTACCTGAATATCGGAATTATACTGGGATTATAATATTGTTGTTTTACTTGTTTTGGGAGCGGAATAATTTATTTTCAATTTTTAACAATAGTGTATTATACTTTGTTGCCAATCACAGTTATTATAAATATATTTTTTTATTTTGTATATAATATCATTACTAGTCTGTGTTAATTTTTGTCCTTTTAAGCATATATTTTGGCTTTTAGCTGTTTTAACTTTAATTAAAGACCTGAATGTATTGTAATTGTAAAGTATTATTTGGTGCCTACAACTCTCATAACATAAACATTTTAGCGAAACTAAAAATTCTCTGTTATTTACAAAACACTGTGTTGTTGGTGAACTATACGCTCTTTAGAATAATCTTGCCCACTTTCATGCATGCAACTGAGCCTCCGGCAGCCGTTCAACCCGCTTGGCGAGAGTCAGGTGCACTGTGATTGGTCGTTAGTTGTTAAATGCTGCCGTTACCCATTGCTATTGACAGCCGTATACAGATGATCATCATAATACAATCGTAATAATTATTACCTATAATGTTATAATGTATAGTTTTTTTTTTCTTTGTTATGTTTCTTGTACTTTTATTATTTTTAATATTTTATTATTATTTAAACACAATGCTTATATCATGTACAATAATTATTAAAACCAAATAGGTACCAATACATGTAATTAAGTGAAAATAGTGCAATATTATTGTTCACTACGTATATACCTGCGGCACGTCGGCGGCAGCAGTATGGCTAATATCTGCGCCCATCGTGGCAACAGACATATTTGAATGAGACGAGTTTTCGTCGGTCTAATGGACAAGATTATTCTTAATAGACTAAAATTGGCAAACCTGTTTTAAAATCATCATTATATTTATTATTCTTCGTAGAGATTCCGGTATAATTGTATAATGCTAAATATCAATACATTATTAATTATTGGTTGAGATTAGATAAAGATATTGTTAGCATTCCAATTGTGTAGGGGTATAATGGTATGTAATAATTATATAATTATTATTGATTTTATGGAAATAATAACATTGTACAGATTTCATTTGTATTTTAAATAAAAAAAAATAACAAGATTTGTAGAAATGAAAGAAGAACTCAATTTAAAAGTTTATTTTCAAAACAATATACACATTTTATTTTATTTTTTTCGAGCACAATATTTATTTAATAATAATCTATTTCAAACATACAACATAATTAAATATTGTAATATTGTTCCATAGACTAATTATTTTGTAAACATATTCAGTCATATTATAAATTATAATATATAGTTCAACCTCTGGAAAAATATCAATAAAGAAACAAAAATGTCCATTAATATCATATTGAATATAATGACAATATAGTTTTGATTATTTACTTGCTATTTTGAAATTTCCAAAAATATACACGTCCAAAAAAATAAGAAGTACATATTAAAAAAAAATTATTTAACCGGAAATTTCAAAATTGTTCAAACTATTCTATTGCTCGTGTATAGTGAATTATATTTTATGAATTAATTTTAATGTTCGTTTAGTGTATAGAAACACAATATCAGAAATCATCAATACAAATTTGTTTTTCAGATAAGAAAAAATAGTTTTAAAAAAACTCCACAAATGAGAAATTTAATTAAAGTAATTTTTAAACGTTGACAAATAAATTTTGAAGCGGCTGTAACCACAAGTGGTTAAACAATAAATATGCACACAAAGTCAAATCACTCTTGATGAAAATAAAATAAAACCTATCGGAGTCTGACGACAACGGCGTGCGGTTGATAAGTTAATAATTTAAATTGGGAATATGAACTTCGGTCGATCGGAAAAAGATAATGCAAATAACGTGACATTTTCCGTTTTAAAGGTACGTAAAAAATTTTCTTTACTTTGCCTCCTGACTACGGTGAGCCCGGTGGTTTAAACCCTATTTGTTGGTTCCGCGCGAGAAACTAGAAAACAAAAAATCTGTTCTCGAAAAATCGCTTTCTCACCCTATAATTAGATAGGGCGTATATAGATAACCCTGTCACGATACGAATACCGATTTGTTTAGGTTAGGTTATCGATTACGTCCGCGGTTGGCTATTTTTGTTGTCTTTGTAAACGCCTTAACCGCGCGTACCTATTTCCTTTAAATATATATAATATATAGATAGATAGGTGAATAATATCTATATATACATATACAATACATACACATAATACATAATACAATAATATATCGTTTCAGTCTTGTGGAAGAATTAACGTGACCACTGCACTAGCGCTATTGTTCGACGCCCGTGGTCCGGGGGGTGGCGTCGGGCTTTTGGGGACTTGTATCCGCGACGACAGCGGAGACGGCCACGGCGGCGGCGGCCTGTTGTTCGGAACTGCTCTGCTGCTGCTGCTGTTGCTGTTCTACATCAGTCGCCGCGTCACTAACCGTGTTTGTCAGCTGTTTGCGTATGTCGCGTATGCTCTTCCGGATGGCCTGCGCGAGCGTCGTCGTGCCCGTGGCCGAGTCTCCGTCGACCGCGACCACCACGGCGCCGTTGTTGTTGGACGACGACGTCTTGTTGCAGTCGCACTCGTCCGGTACCACGGTTATGGCGCACGTGTCCGTCGCCGTGGGGGTCGTCAGTTGCAGCAGTCTCTGTGGGTCCAACTTTATGGCGTCGTCGTAACTGGGCGGCGGCACGTCCACCACGGTCGCGTAATCGGGCGGCTTCTCGTCCAGCCTCACCGGCGGGTCCAACGATATAACGTGGATGTGATCGATCGACTCCTGTCAAAAACAAAAAAAAAACACGTAGAATTTAATATAGCCGTCACATGACAATAATATAGACCTACACCCCTTCCATCATTCAATCGATAATATTAAGTTGCATAAGACGGGGAATTGCAACCTTTACAGGGACAGTGGAAGACCGATTTAGGATATGATTGAAAGTGATAATATTGATGAGAACTGCTGGGGTGGCGTGCAGTATGTGCACGTCACGTATACATAAATGATGCGAGAGACCGTGTCAGGGGGACGTTTTGGGATTCGGGATTTGAGCGATGACCAACTGCAGACGGTATTAGCTGTAGAGCTCAAGTAGTCGAGTATTTTCAGTAATTTTTGGAGGTTTAAAATAAATAGTTTTATAGCCGTAAGGCAGTTATTAGGTATTGAGTGTCTCAAAAAGTGAAAAAGCCTACTCCCGAAATAAGCGATTTAATTAATAATTATCATTGCCGGGTTGCATATAATTGAAATTATAGTCGACACAAAATTCGTGTATTATTATAGTACTTTAAATAGGTATAATTTAAGTATCTGGTATAGAATCGGTCTCGGTCATCGTCACGACTGTTACGAGCGTTTTTATATCATTTTGTAACCATTTAAAACAATAAAAAATAATTTCCAATTTTTTATATAATTTTTAAACATTGCGTATACTGTATACGTTTTAGGTGTAAAACAACATAATAACGCGTCAATTATATTTTATATAACATTTTATAATACTACGTATATAATATTATTATAATGGATAATATACCTAATAATAATATAATATTGTATCGGTCTTATTTTACGCACATTCGGAACCAATCAATTTTTGAACATAATATCGAAATTAACGAACTGTGCATATTATTATTATATAGGTACCTATCTGTTACTTTTGCGCTGCACGTTGCAAAGACAAAATACACGGACAGGCAACCGTTGAATTACGTGTACAACACAAATTACTATAATTTGTTAACGCAGTCAGGACTGTATACACAGGAGGGAGGATATGGGAGTTTGATCTCCCCTACGTTGCCTTTGTTTAATCCTAAAAACTTTATATATAATTCAATGTTCAATTTATTTAAGACAATTTTATTCAATAATAATTTAATGAAACTTTTACTATTTTATTGTTTATATAATTGTGTTTTTGGTTTTGATCTGAAGCTCATTTAAGGGAGGGCGGGGGGTCAACGATTTGTTCAACTTACTATACATTCGTATTTTTACGTTTAAACGTCCATCACTGGATATCTATTATTTTCCTCTTCCAATTATGACCTTGTATACCTATATAATTTATAACTAACGATTTAAATAGAAGACTAGGGGGTGATTGCTACGTTGTCTACCCTTAAATCCACCAACGGTGTCCCTTAAACACTTAGTAAATTAAATAATATACTTGGTTTGTCCATTAATGGCTTACGTAAAAATGTTTAGAACCATAATAATAAGTATTCTAAAATGTTACATTAGCTTTATTTGTTTGCAACTCTCATGTTCGGTGATGACCACATTTCAAATTTTTATATGGTAATCTATATCAACAATTCCATAAATAGATAAAGTTTTTGTTTAAATAAATTTTTATAATTTATTGATTTTGATTGATCAGGTAACTATAAATAATTGTCAACTGCTTATTATTTATATGTTTTTATTTGTGAATTAAAATATGATAGTGGTTTTTTCACCAAACATAATATGACTATAACATTTAATAATATATATGAAACTTTCCAAACTGTTTTTTCATAGGTAATTTTTTTGAAAAAATAGTATTGTAAAAATTGACTATAACACAATATAATAATTCGTAATAAAATCGTATCATATTATTTTAAACTCATAATACCAACTCGTATAATACCTACATAGTAATGCGTAAAAGTGTGCAGTTGTTAGGTCGTTGATGAAAACGTCACCGCTTTCTAGACCTATTTTAATTCCATTTTAATGGTTATCAATTAAATCGTACCAATCTATAAGTATCGTCCGCGTTTGCGTCACAGATATCTTTATTATACTATATTATAATATAGATATCTGTGGTTTTCGTATATAATAGGAAATCAATTTTGTACGCGAGCAAAATGATTTATCGTAAATCGTGTATGTACCCTGCACAATATATGTTCAATGTCGTGTAATTTTAAATGTAGTGTCTTACGATTGAATTTATATTAAGTATACCTATGTATATCAGTATATTATGATGGTTTCATTTCCTCCCAAAATTCGAAATGTCAAATATTTATAAACGTGACAATATTAAGGAAAACGAAAAGCTAGTTTGAGCTAAAATTGTGTCCAGTTGAATTGTGTCAGAGAAGAGCTTATTATATAAGGCGCTTTAAAACCTGCATGTGCGTTTTCGGAGATTTTTTCTAGAGTCATCGACAGCTTTCCCTCCCACAATACCATTCCAAAGTCCCAGCAGAATCAGCCCTACTTTTATATTTTAAAAAATAAGGCTACAGCCTCAAGTGACTCCAGATTCGGATTAATGGTAAGCCGGCCTAATAGGACTGCAGTATTTTTCGGGCCCAGAAAAACTATAGAAACGTAATAAAAACATAACAAACAAAAAAAGATTTATAATATAAAACTGCACGTTCAAATATTACTCGTGTTTAAAATTTATATTTAACCTCTCCTCAAAAAATTGTTTTCATTGTTCCTAGGTTTAGACTACAACACAAAAACTTTTGTTTTACAAACAAAAAACCCTTTTTTTTTTTATGAAACTAACTTCTGAAAAAATATTATTTTAATTTCATCTTAAATATATGTACATGTATACAAAATATTTCAGTAAAATAGGTTGAACAAAATTATGTTAATGCAAAAAAAAAAAAAAATGCTATTCTTGTTAAAAAAAAAATAAAAACAAAACTTTATATAGCCCCAAGCCATCATTTTTTACAACTATATTAAATAACATTTCAGTATTTCAGTATTATATTCAATGGCGTGTTTGTTCCCATACATTTTGTTTTTGGCACACATAACAATTTTTTTATCTTTCTTGCGATTTAAACTTTATATAGGAAATAAAATATAGTAATTATAAAAAAATTAAATACATTTTATCAAAATAAAGCACTTAACATTACAAAAAACCAAAAATTGTAAATTGCAAAAATATAGTCGAACTTTACCAACTTGAAATCGTTGATACCTTGGACTTTTTTCACGATCTCTAGAATTTCCTGATTGAACAATGTAAAAAAATCGCGTTTAATTCGAACAGTTCATGGATAACTCGAAGTTCTAATTTTTTTATTAAGATCAGTGATTTATAGGTTATTCTCATGTGTAGATATGTACATTTACTATCGAAAGTAAAGTGTATTAATGTTATGGTTACTGATACGTACCAGGTGTATAAATTGTACAGTTTATACACCTGGTTTGTCACTCAATAACATGACACGTTATTCACTCGCATACGTATACAATTTAGTGTTCCGTGACGTTTCAATGTTTAAGATAATTGTTTGTGATATCGATATTAAAACGAATAAAATTAAAACTTTTACTATTCATTTTTTGAAAAATTATTTGAGAGTATATGCAGTATACCTATTATTTTTCAGCATGTTAATAGTATCGTCGTAAATTTAGTTTGCCTTGTGGTAACGCCACTGACTTTAATATTAGTCTTTAATCTTTATGTATGTAAATAATATGCATTTTTCAAAACACAGAATTTGAATAAATACATTATTTAAGCAACGGAATTGTTATAAACAAAATATGTGCACAAAATATGAGTGTATTAGACTGGCAGTCAATATATTCAAGCAGTTTCACCGAGTAAGCCAAGCATATTTACCTACATGAGAGGTCATTATTTTGTTTGCTTAAAAAACTAGATTGGATGTTTGTATCGAATACATTATAAATTATAGTCGGGCACACGTTGAGATTTTACATAGATACCCAAAATGGAAGGGGGAAGGGGTGTGCAAATACACATAAAATGTACTATTTTTTTTGATAATTATTAACAACTTTTTTTTCAAAGGCTGATAACTACTGTTAATGGTTATGCCACTTTTGGTAATTTAGAGTATCCATTCATACTAATAAAAATTAAGGAAAATTAATCATTTTTCTAAGAATTAAACGTTATAATCTCAAAATTTTTGGAATTTTAGAGTAATTTTACTTATATCTGTACGCAACGATAAAATAATAATAATGGAAAATTATTATGAGCAAAGTATTATTAGTCGTATTAGTATTATTAATAATAATATGGATTCTAAAATCATAGAATAAGAGTACAATATTGTAAAAGATTGATCAAACAACCTATATTGAATTTCCTCAAAAATCATAGCGAATAATTTGCCGGATAAGGTCCGTCATCATTTCTGCTTTGTTTTTGAGCGATACGTCATGGAATTATATCATCTAAAATTATATATAATAAAATAATTCCATAATATACAATAATAATCGGTAACGTTATTATTTCCCACTTAGATTTTACGTAACTCGTCGCGAACCGCGCTCGTAGTAATATAATAAAGAAGAAAATAAATTCCCAAGCTAATATATTATTATTATTATTATTACCATTATATTATTTGTTATTCGTATTTTTATCCTGTTCGTACACGGACGGTTGAACGTCGTATAATATAATTTATCATTATTTTCTGATATTATTATGTAATTACTGCTGCTACTATTGCTATTGCTGTTGGCTATGTAAGACCGATTTTGTTTTCAAGACCGCATCACTGACGACGAATCCGAAGGATAAATATGACATCATATTACGTACACATTCTGGCTTACGCGTTGGTTTATGGGTTATTTTTTTTTTTTTTTTTTTGATAAATCACACGCAACAAATGATAATATTACTAATTTTGAGATTTATCGCTCATATATATTAACGTAAAAATGAATCCGTACGTACTGATAGCGCAACACGGGTGATCTACTGCGTACAATTGTGATGAGAAATTGGTAAGGTATGAGACATCGTAAGTTAATTAGGTATTAAAAGCGATGACAGATAATTTAAAAATTTTAAATTTTTTATTATTACTTTTTTTTGTTTTTCGAAAAATTTACAAGAATCTACGTAGAAAACAGTTTAAAATAAAGTAGAAGAAAACAATCTTTACTGTCTGAGTCGTGTACACGGACCGGGCAAAACTTTTTTTTAAAAATACCATGATAATGTAGTAACTAAAATGATTTACTCCTTGTCGAACAGTGTCCAGGGTACTTAATTTATTTCGATCTGCACATAATCGTTCGGATTAACGAACGGATTAGAAAATATGACGCCGCCGACACCACCGGTAATTTGCTTATAAAAACTATTTTGCATGGGACAATTTAACTCATTTCATAGGTATAGCAGATTCATCAGTAGAGGTACCTACCATATTATCAAAACACATAAAAAAGAACTTAATCTGTGCTACAGTGTGCTTATTTTTGTTACCAATTAAAGTTAACTGTTGGTAAATTTTCGGTTTTTGTAGTTAGTTATAAATAATTATTGGACAGTGTCATCGAAAAAATAATTAAGGTGTAGCATAGTTAAAATTTTTCGCATTTTCATGTTTTGACATTTTGGTACCTCTATATACTATAAATACGGAACAAGTTAAATTTTTATCTCGCGATAAACAGTTTCTTGAATAACACAATAAATAATTGTGATAACGACACGGCACTACATTTATGTTTATTTCGAATATTTTGGAAATGAAAAAGTGTAAACATTGCCTATACGTGACTCCTTAAATACGGGCGGTTCCGCGTTCTTTAATGACTTTAAAGCTCAGTCTCGTTTCGAATACGGTACAATTATGACGTATAGTCGATGTCGGAAGTCGAAAATAATAATCGAGCGCATCTCACCTTGAACTAAATTAGTAAAAAATAAAAATAAAAAAAATGTGAGAATAAAAATATTACGCTGCATAATCGTATCCGACACGATAATGACGTTCACTAACTCGCCGTAGCCGTGTACAACAATATTTCAGAGATTTTATACAAAAATTTAGAATACATTAATTTAATTATTATGTATCATTTGTTGTAATATTATGTGGGTAAGCAGGACTACACGCGATTTAGTTATTAAAAATAATCGTCTTAAATCATCATTATTAAAATTACTTTTTTTTTTTACAAATCCGTTTAAACATTTTATTTTTGTATAAGTCGCGAGAATCTCAAATGACCGATATATCGTATATGAAGCAATACGATACCGTAAAAAAATGTGTGAAAATTAAAAACACCAAGGCTATGTAAATTTGATCGTATTTCCATCACTGCAGCTGTGATGGCCATGTGTAAATTGACACAAACCAATGCGATGCCTACGGCTGAACTTCACGTGGTCCCGTAAAAAACCGAACGAATTTCAATTAGTTTTTACAACTTAAATTATGTAAATCTATACAATTAACGCAGTCCGAGTCGGTGTAATATACTTATATTATAATAATGTCGTTTCGACACACACACGTTTCTTGTAAATTAATTATCTATTTTTTTCGCCCTAAAGATCTTTAAGAGGAAGTCTTTTCACCAAGGTTCATTATTTATAATAATATTATCTTTGTTTGTAGTACGTAGGTATACATACACCCACAACCCGGCCAACAAATGAGGCTAAGTTCATTTTCAATCGTTTTATTAGGATAACCAAAATACTAAAATATATCACACTATATCTCTTATACAGACAAAAAGGATCAGAGTCTTGCAAATATATGTCCTTGGATAGTTATATTCCGTTTCAGTACAACTATACTTCCGACTTGGGTCATTGTGGTTTTTATTCTAATACGTTATAACGTGGTAAGAGATGACCAGAAGATATTAATTCATGGAAGGTGATGGTTAGGTCATGTATATCTATATTTACGGTAGCTAGTGGTGTATAGATATTATCAGAATCTTAAAGAAGTAACTTCAAAAATCGTCTGTTGTAAAGTATTATACTACAATATTATAGCTAAATCAGCATTTATTATTAAAGCCGTTTCATAGCTACTCGAAATCTACAAAATTAAAATTTGCTAAGCGAGACGAGCCGTCGAGTAGTATTGAAAGGGCCTATCCAGTACAATATAGTAAATAATGACGATAATCGGTAGTTGGCATATTCTTTGCATGAAAATCAAATATTTTTCTACGGTTGTTACTTCTCCTTAACCAATAATTTTTGAATAACACGCAATATAATAACATCTACAAATATTTCAAAGAGGATCAATTTGTAGACATAGATGGTGATATGTTATAAAATATACCTACAGTAAAATCATTGAAATAAATACGGAATATAATAAACCAGACTTGCAGTGTTTAAGTGCCAAAGCGTTTTCGTTGAAAATGAAAGTAGACCCAATTATTGATTTTCAAAGGCATCAAAAAAGGTTGAATCCTAAAAACGTCGATTCCGATTCCAATTTTCAAGCTGAAATTTATAGTGATTTTTTCTCTATCTGTAATGTTATCATTTTAAATATTTTTTGTGTCGGACATTTTATGCAAATCAGAAGAAAAGTTACTATGTGTCGGCAATTTGTATGGCATGCCTCCCTACCTTGTGAGATTTTGCCGGCACTGGTCCTGGCTGTCGCCAGCTCTATTATTTCTCCATACATTTAAATATTGTGTCTTAATACAACACGTATAATATCTCGAACGATATCAAATTTAACATAACAAAAAATTAAATATTATATAGAAAAACGCCGTGACCTTGATTTTGTTAAAAGTGAACTTAAACCCTTCTGTTTTTCGCTGGTTTTCGAGTCTCGGGTACCTTCAGAGTTATTCGTTGTGGTATACAGAGTGATAAAGTAAAACGATATACAATTGGAAAACTACAATAATGTACATACCTATCTACGGTATTCGAAGTAGTGCATCGTGAGTTTTCTGGAATATCGTTACACGCTATATAAATAAATATATATGTTACGATTCGGATTTTTTTCTTCTCAAAAGTAACAACTCTAAAACTGCAACCGTAACCATGAATGGTGCACGTTAATACAAAAATAGGGGCCACCGGACGTAGAGTTGTGATGATGCCCTCGAAAACGTTTTTCTCGAGTTTTGTAAAATAATTTGTATAGTATAGATGTAGATAGGTAGGCCGCCGTTTAGCCGCAAATTATCGTACTTGTCAATCATTCGTGATCGATGTGCGTGAACACGTTTTTGCTATTTGAGTGCAAGGTGGAACGTCCTCACAAAGCCGGACACCGTTATGGCGAACATTTTTTTCCCTTCAAAAATAATTGTAATTACAAGGTGCGGTCGCGTTTTATTAGTTCTTAGATCGACTGCCGAGATTTTCACGTATAATAACACGAATTTTCATACAATAACCATACATATAATATACTCCTCACTACTAAAAATCTTTTTTTTTTCATTCGCTTCTTTCGCTGGTTATTTTACGTGGATTGGCCACCTCGATCTTGAATTTCCGGACCCTGATCTCCCACATCATCAGAGTACAGTATCCTCATACATATAGTCTGCACACCTAGTAATTATTATTTAATTATTTATTTAAATAATTGTTTATCATCATCACTAGAGCCCAGATTTAAATGACTTTAATCGAAATAACATTCTAAAAATATGAACAAGCCATGATAAATTCTAAAAAATACAAAACAAAAGTTTCACTTTTAAAGTATCTATTAAGATGAATCGAACTATTCAATTGGAAAGAATTGTCTTAGATCACTCCCGCCTAAATGCACTTTGTCATGAAATCTGGACTATAAATTTCATCGCTCTCAATCCTATATCCCCTTTTGACCTTTCTCATCCTATATGACTCCTTTTAAAACCATCCCTCTTATACCGAAGCTTCTAACTCGTCACTTCTCGTCAGTCTATCCATTATCATTTGTTCTGTTATGTATTATTATATTATAAGAGCCAACGTGCCGTTTTCGAACAAAACCAAACTTCAGATTACAGACTCCCGCGTTGTTGTGGGGTTCCGTTATTATAGTTTTACATCTGACCGCGATATTTATGCACCGCAAAATATACGCTTGTTATTATACACGCGTCACGCACACACCAAATATAAAAAATAATAATATTACGTACATAGTATTTGTAAACGGTCGTCCGTGGACAAACCGATCGCGAACCTACACTAATATTATAATTCTGACGGTTGTATTGAGCGACCGCGGTGACGGATTATCCTTTCGGGCTGAAATATTTAAACGATACTTGGAGGTATAAAAGGGGGCATAAAATTAAAAAATAAAAAAAAAAAAATGTAAAAAACGCGTTACGCTCGGCGGCCCGACAACAGTTGCCAAATTGCCTTGAACGAAGGTCTTTCTCCAGCCAGACGCATTATATTATTACGCGTGTAGGTGTGTTTGTGTTGTTTTTTTTTTTGTGCGCGTTTGTTAGCGTAAAAGTGTGTCCGTGTACAATACACGTGTACGGTACCGATCCGCGGAGTGCAATAGCCTTGTGCGTGGTGTGTCGATCGGCTGAACCGCCTGGATTAAAAAAAAAATAATAATTTCGTTTTCCCTGTGTTCACATTGCACGACAATACCCGTATTTGTCGGTGAGTTTTTCCGCCAGCATACGTAGGCACACAGGGTGATCGACATAACGTTTAGACGTTATTCATTATCTCGGGGAGTATTAATTATTTTTTTCAGAATTGGGTTTTATTTTTAGATATAGTACGAAGTTAGCAGCTCCACGATTTGTATTACCGTTATTTTTTGGCACCTTTATTTTTGGGAGGTAAACTGCTAACAGTTTTGTAATTCTCAAATAGCAACCTAAATTAAAAACTGCATAAACAGATGAAGTTTTACATGTTGCTTACAAAAAGTTTTAATCTCAACGCGTTGACGAGATATTCCATTTTGAGTTTGTCGTTTTGCGGTTAGGAGAGAACAATATTTGTAGGGCGCAGCGTTTGAAAAATGTTCCATTATACTATCTTTTTACCTCCAAAAATAAGGACGATAAAAAATAACGGTAAAGTACCTAATATTTTAGAAATTTCCAAAAAAAAAAAAAACAATTCCGAAAATAATTAATTTTTCGAGATAGTGCGTGTCTGAGGTCATGTTGATCACCCTGTATATACACCGGAACCCGATCGATTAACAAATAAAAAATTGGAAATTGGGTGGTAAAAGTATTTTCGATCAGCGTGAACAACTGACACGCGTAGTGTTGTGCAACACCACATCACATCGTTTTATTGTTTTATTTTCTATCATTCACGATGAAGATCCATCAGGCTCATTAGTGAGCCTTGTATGAGTGGTGATTAGAATATTTTTAAAATTACCTAGTACAAGTGGAAGGGATGTTAATACGATAGGTACTCGGAGAAGCGGAATACCTATATCAGAAATAGAAATCATTATAATTATAATTTGTTAATTTTAAGTTTTAGTTATCTATTTTTAAAACGTGAAAATATAATATTTTATAAACATATTATTTTGAACGAAATGTATTTTAAGATTTTGAAAGATGACATTATCAATAAACCAAATAATACAAAAAGTGTAGGTGAAGCATCGCCTTATCCGCCTCATTTGTCAATCCACTGCTGTGACTCACGATCATAAGAGCGATTTTTTTTTATAGATTTAATATTTAGTACACGAAATCCAAACCTAACCTCATTTGTCGAACGACTAAATTCATAAGCTATGATTATAATTATAAGCTAAACAAACAAAACCAGGTCCGTAAATCTAAAAGACCTACAGAAGATCACAACGATTTATAAAATTCTTTAAACAAAATGAATCACTATAAACAGGAAGCGGATTTAGTCCATTTTAAAAGACCGACTGTCCTTGATATCCAAGAAGTTTTTTTTGTTTTTTATGATAGTCCCGGAGTGCGGATCGAATCCTTAATAATAATTAGGATTCTAATGATTTATTATCCGTTGAAAATCTCACTGTTTATTGCGGAAGAATCACTATTTCCATCGTGCGAGCGTATAGAACCTCTCTTATTTCTCCTATTTTTGGGAAATCATATTATAAAATATTGTAAAAATATGATTTCCATATTAAATCATACAATTATCCCTACAGACACTTTTTAATTACATATGGTACGACCGATTTTAGAATGTCAAGCCTTGCCGAAACGCCCATAACGCGTATCTAGATATATATATATTATAATAGTAAAAGGTTATACCGCCGTTCACATAACCTCAAAAACCTACGACGTCCAATTATATACCTATTTATTATTGAACGAAAACTTGCAAGTATATAATATGTAATTTTTTCCCAACGCTATACGAATAATAATAATAATAATATAATACGCGTTATATACCGCAGTAAACAAATATTGATATTATTAAAATTGACAAATAATATAATTAATTACATTAATATTCATTGTTGTACGTTAATAAATGACAGTAGTTTTTAGAACGTATTGTAATATGCGAATAAAAAGGTTTATACGGCCATACATGGGCGTGAAACAAACTGCACAAAGCCGGTGAAAAAATGTTCGTATCATGAAGTTTCACCCGTGTTTCGTGAGAAAAAAAAATCTTATTTCAAAAACTGTACATGAAAAGTCTATATCCGTTTTATGACGAAGCGAACAATATTTTGATGACCCATATCGTATAAAAATAGTATGGTATACTTTTTGATTTTCATGATGCTTTCAATTTATGAAAATAACGATTTCTAGTATTCGTCTACATACGAACACGTAATTGACACGTATTAACACGTAATATTATAATATTTATATGGGAATTTATTATTGAGATGAGGATCTGTCGTGAAATGAAAATTTGCTGTGATATTATTCAAACGATAAATCATCAGATTCGAAAATATTTTCCATAGGTCTTGTAATATCAGGACTCAGGAACGTGCTTCTTAAGGTTTTATACTTGTAGCTGGCTATAACTAATTATATTCATATTGCCCCCTCCTTGTGAAAATGTTGAGCATGTTGTATGGGCGAACAAAACGAGTAATTGCAGGTATACAAATAATATAATCTTACGGGTATGTATACACATCCGTAAAAAATTAGATTAGAAAAACTAATAACAAATGTCTAGCGAAATTAATTAAGAATTTTCGAGACGTCGGAAACAAGTATTTAAGGTATTATAGGTATAGATTTTTATTTATGTGTTGGCAAGGTAGGGGTTCTGGCTATAAATTAATTGTATATAATAGGAGTGATTGGGAGTTAAACAAAGAATTACATTTCTGTAGTAATTTAAAAATGGGGGGGACCAGACATCCCTTTACCTACACCTTTGGGTACATTTAAACGTTTTAGCGCAATTTAAATTCAAGTACTTCGAAATTTATCGGAAGCCGGTGCATTGTAACTACCGGTTGCAGTTTAATTAAAACGTGTAATTGAATTACGAACAAAATACACGTGCGTTATTTATTTCCGCGCGCGTTTCGTAAAATACATATAATTGATCGTTTAATACGCGACGGAATATTTACAAGACGATATTATATTCCTTTGCGGTTGTATAATTTTATTTGAACGTAATCAAAATAATTTTAAAACCAATATACAGAGAACCGTAGCAGTTTTTCGTGTTTTTTTTTTTTTTTACTTAGCAGCGTGAATAATTGATATAACGTTCGCTAGAATGAAATTCCGATAACTATATCATTTGAATAATCAATAATGATAACAATAATATATGTTATAGTTCGGGGAAATGTATTACAAAAAGAAACACACGCAATATGTTTCTATATTTCGTATGGTATATAAGTACTTATACAGAAACATCACGATGTAAAAAAAAAACAATAATAATATTTAGTTGATTGCATTACAATCTTAGGCTTCGTTTTTTCGTCGCTATAGTTATTATACTATTATTGCCGTGTTAATATTATGTCGCTTTGTAGAATTTTCGTGAATTACACGTGTATAGAGTATATCCCCCGTTATAAGTCTTAGCCTCTGTGTAACCCATGCGCCCATGCGCACCCTCCACGTCCGTCGCTTTTGTTTTTACCCTATTTTGTTAAACGTGTTTGTTATAATTTTTTTATTTTTCCTTATAATTTTCAAAAAAAGAGTTGTATATATAGTGAACTTTGCTTATTCACTGATCCAAGATTTAGTAGCTTATAAAACTCAAAATCACTTGGAACGATCCGGACATATCCAAATACATTCTAAATTGGCAAAGCGAGCAACACTTTACCTGTGAGGTTTATTTGTTTATAAGACTCACTTTGTGTTGGTCCCAAAGCAAGTCTTATATGAGCTACGTCCGCTGTATATATACATTACACATGCAAAACACAAAGCAAAGTTTATATACCAAACAGTCAACTTTAATGGTTCAAATCACGGTTGTCTATCGCTTGATTTGGGTAAATTTACTGCGCATTTATTAGGTATATTTTCGAAATGATTATTATTGGTGAAAATCAAGGAAACACACACATCGTAAATGCTCAATATTATACTGGGCGATTTTTTTTATCCTTCTAATTAACATATTTATATTATTAACCTTAATTATTAGTTAGTATCCTTCATTAATGCGTTTGTATTAAAAAAGTTAAGACACGAATAAACGAAGTACTAAGTTTAATGAAAACCATTAGCGCCATTTATGAAAACTGAACATTTCATTAATTCAAAAATGCCTGCAGTTAGAATATAAGTGAAATTTATTGTTTTACTTTATACTGTCAAATCCTTGCAGAATAATGCTTATCTTGAATATCAAATTTGATTTAAATCGATTAATTATTTCGGCTAAAAAAACATACCCTAACCATACTGCAGATACATATCAGACCAATAATCTCTAAAAACTACTTTTATGGACTCGGGGGTCATCTTAAAACATTCATGTATTTCCGCAGCAAACTCGATATCGATTTTTAAGTGCGATAAAACAAAACACCTACTACTAGACTTACAGTAGATAAAGTGAAAAAAAAAGTACTGTATTTAAAATCTACAAGTATTTATATAGATAACCGTCGATTAAAACTGAGTCACTCTGTATATAAACCGCCGCCGCCGCGTTGTCGGTATACCTACGTGTCAAGCGTATAAATTCGCGGTGTGTTTAACACGACACCGTCGGAAATGTGTAAAGAATACAATATTCCATTTCCCTCTGTAACGATTCACCGCCCAACAGTTTTGTAACAATAATAGGTATATGTATACAAATACAAAAGATAATTTTATTTCTACAACTCTTTGTTTTGCAGCGCAGTATAGTAGCAGAATGAGACAATTCGTTTTTTCATTACAAATAATATTTTCACGTTATGGCGGAATTATTGAAAAAATAATATTTGTTTTTTTTAAAAATAGTGTGTAGGTATTCGAATTCGATGACGATATCGTTTTTCCATCGTGATGGTCTGACAATATAATATAATACCTATACGTAATATATTATTATAACTGTAAAAGTTTTCAATTTTATCTCGAATTGTATACACTACAGAAACTGTATAAATATACCGTGATGACGTTTTATTTTTCATAATAAATTGCATTTAAATAAATATACGAAATATTATTTTTTCTTGCATCTGTGTATACATACTAATTATTGTTTTTTTTTGTATTCGTACGTCATTATAAGTTCGTGCTCATGAATATTATATTATGTTTCTCGCTGTTAATGACATTATTTTTATTTTTTGAAAAATCTCTATTTGATTTTAAGTAAAAATGGTCGGAAATATCTGCAGCTCTCTTCAAAAATCTATAATTACGGTAATCGGATAAAATGATGAAAACCAAAAAACCCAGTTAAACTACAGTACTCTGTAAAATATAGGTGAATAAAGTTACTATAAACAATTAATATTTTTAAATTACGTACTTATAAGACTGTACTATTATAGAACACATTAAAACACATTTTTTTTCCAATTTGTTATCAACAATAAAATCAAAAAAAAAAAAAATGTTAATATTTTATAAGTTAGAATAGATATATCATTATGAAGGAATATTATAATAATTTGAAATTTTTGGTTTTGGATTATATTTTTACTTTAGATTTTTTGTCTTAGATTCTCAAACAACGTCCGCATGTAAATCGATGTTTAAATCGATAATAATAATAAAAAAAAAACTAGAATCATTATAGTTTTATTTCGATATAACTATTATTGTGTTCCTGCAACTATTATATGCGCATATGGCACATTGTACAGTATATCAAATTTCTATTGGAATATTATATTATTGTGAAGCAATCGGTGAACCAATAATGTTTACAAACGCTATCAAAAAAAAAAAAAAAAAAACTTTAACTGCATATAATTGGTATAAGAAACTGACATATAAAAAACGGTGTATAACGAAATCTGTTTTTTTTCTCTAGCTATTATACGAAGCAATAGATGAAACGTATCTTAGATGTTACATTGTTACGATTTTACGAGATATAATTATTTTAACACTTAGATTTCTAAATTTCTTATAATATTGACTTGGTATAGTGATAGTCACGTACAAAACAAATGAAATGCTCAATAGTAAGTTATTATTTTTCTAGCTTCGAAAAATCAGACAGGCGGGTTTTGCAGAATTATCGAAATCCATGTTGGTACAAGATAACGACTTAGAAATATTGAACAAGGTATGAAGGTATCCTTACATATCTGTGAGTATACACGATGTTCACAACGTGTTTTGACTAGTGCACTTTTAAACAAATAAATTTAACCCCTCTGAATACCCCGTAAACATTTTAATCTAACCATGAAAACTCCGACAATCCGTTAGGAATCGCCTATGAAAACCTACGGTTTCAATAAATTTTCAAATTTATCTTTCAGCGTTAATGTAAAAGATACAAAACAGGATTTCATGTATTCTTTTCCTCGGGGATATCGACTACTAAAACCATCCCGTCACACAACTAGCTCTCTAATTTCCCTTGACAGATGCTCTAAATTTCCAATCTGATTCTCCATTTAGAAATTCACGTCTCAAGTATAACCAAATTTTTTCCTTTCAAACAGGGTCTTTTATTTCATGAATTCTCTTTCATTGCCATCCATATAGGTGTATTCTGACATCACTAAGCGTGTCCATTCTTCTACTTTGTCCACTAATGTCCAGCCTTACTCCTATACTTTACTTTTGATCATGTTCAATATGTTTTAATTTTGGGATACTCCCTCTAGCTCATAATTTGTCCTAATTCTTTGAACTTTTTCCGTAGAATTTGTCAATCCAAAACAGAATTACTATTAGAGAACAACAAATTATATTACAAAATATAATAAGCAATTTAATAATGTCGACAAATTTTAAATAGTATACGATTTTGGTATTGTAATAATTATTTTTATATTTCTCTTACAAACCATATTTTACAAACGTATATTGGGAAATGAAATAAGTATATTCGTATAAGCACCTACGTATAATCCAAACGACTATAATATCTGTCCAGTTTTCGTGGCTAATGGCGATGACGGCCTACGGGGTTACAAATAGAAAATATATTTTATACTATACGGTCCCATTGTATGATAAACAATATTATTACTATTATTATTATCAGTCACAACAATACTTTCAGTTATTATTATTATATTATATACTTGTGTGAATACCGACTACCGATATGAATAACAAACGCACAACGAATATAATTATAATATTTTCAATCGGTTTTATTATTATTTATTTTTTTACTAGTCGACAATCGGTATAGGATAAATAACAATATCTTTAACGATGCTGTTATGCTAATTTATTATAAAGCGTCATATTAATATTTATTGTGCAAGTATAACCGAGCAAATTTACCGCGGAACAATATTGAAAACCCGTTTTTTTTACGTTGTAGTGGGTATTTTGTTTTAACAAAATATATTTTCAATATATAGCTTTGCTAGTAAAAAGTTCGAATTATGATTCAGGTAACAATGAACTCAGCTTTGAAACTTTTATTTTGCCTTTCTGACATTTTCCATTTTAATTATTGCGTTTTATAATATTTAAAACAATTTCATTAGTGCTTCTTTACGAAATATCATTCTTTTAAAATGTTTGTTCATTCTATAATATGTATATTTATATTATGGGTTTATTGTTATAGATTTTAAGTGTCACGTAAAAGATGTAATAATAGTTTTACCAAGATGTATTCGGAAAACGCTTTTCGGTTAATAAAAATGCACTCAATTATTTTATTTATTTGGTTTTTCAATTACGTTTATTTGTCGAGTTTAGACGAGCTATCACCAATTATAAAAAATAATAAAAACAAAATTTATAAAAATTCTTTTAGAAATTATGCTGTGATATCCATTAACAAACTTTTATTTACTCTAAGATATTTTTCTACTGGGAAGTTTTCAATTACCGCTGGAGATTTCACGGTTGTTAGCAAAACTACAGCATCGTTAATTATACATAGTGTCATAATTGAAAAATAAAAAACAATGTAAAAAAATACAATGGTTATCTATCACATAATTTTTCATATTACTAAAAGACAATAAGAATTTAGGCCAATCATAATCAAGTTGGTGATCGCAACTTGTTCCACAATACACTATTACTATTATCCATTGAATACATTTTATTCACCAAATAACTGTCAGGAAGATAAAATTTGATTCAAAAACACTCATCATTTTATTTTGGGATTTATTCGCCAAGTAAGTTTATTCGACGAATAAATGCATTATTGAAAAACCGGGCCTTAAATAAATTTTACATTTTAGATACTACAACAGATTTTCAAAAAAATTGAAAAATCTGACAACAAATAGGTTATATTTTTGATGATTTCTTAATTACCAGAGAACAGGATTGTAGTTTTGGATAAAAAAAAAAATAACCCGACTAATACTATAATAACCTTACCGGTTTACCGAGCTCCGCTCAAAATAGTTTTTTGATTGCAATTATTAATCGTTTCTTATAGTACATATACATTATTACTCTATACACATGCTATACGTTCACCTATAACAGTGGCCTAACCATGATAGTATGCCCAATTATATTCAAAATACATTTGAAAACGAAAATTGAATTGTACAAGTCAAACATTTTTTAGTTTTATTTTTTTGTTTCGACGATTGTTAGAATAGGCGGTAAGAAATATCTCGAAATTATTATTTTTAAATAATTTTTTTTTTTTACATAATATAATGTGGTTATAGAAATTGGAAACCAGAACAGATTATTACTTTCTTACTTTCTAAATGTTTTCAGTTTTTTTTAGCTATCGAACGGGTGTCTGTTTTTTTAAATCAAGGGTTAGAGATAGATAGGTATATACTGAGTTTTAATCGGATAACACCGAAAAATGTAAAAATCATCAATGGTAAATATTATATTATTATATTAATTTGCATGTACCTATACTTACTACACAACATAATTTTCAAACGCGAAACAACTAAAACGAAATTCCGTATCGAATAAATCCTAAAATGCGTATAAAGATTGTTTTTTTTTTCAAAGTTTTTTTTTTTTTACTTTCCACTTGTAAAATAATATTATGATATACAATAATGTAATATTATAGTGAAATATAAATGTCTATTATATTTTTATATTGTCTATCGTTGAACATTCTTATATGGGTTCTTGCGTATTATACGTCATGTACGTGCGTACTGCAGTAGTTCCATATTAAAGATTTTTTTTCTGTGGGAAAATATATAGTTGATACATTAAGACAACGTCGTATAACTTTAGCACGGCTAAAACACAATTACAATTTACGAGTTTGAAAACGGGAGAAGAAATATGTTCTGCGTATTGCAAAAATGTCGAATAAAATATGAAAAAAAAAAAAAATCAAATAATGTATACTAAAATAATAAAGTAAAAACAAAATTATTAAAATCGTTAATACTCGTAAATAAATATATAAATACAAAATGTATTTATTTATTTACTATACTGTGATATACCTGATGATGAATTTTTAATTCGAAACCGATTGTATAATAGACTCATATCATAATACTCCAGAAGACGCATTGATTCATTTATTTATTTTATTTTTATATGTACATTTTTTATTTATATATTTATTTACTTTATATAAATAAAGTGGCAAACGTAACGTAAATTGGAAGACCGCGAAATGAAACAACATTTCTGACGTCTTATGCACACCAGATTATAACCCGTTTTAACACATTTCCACGAGATGAAATATAAAATAATATACAATATGAAAATTCTGAAATAATTTTAAGGCTTTTCAAATTGAAAAATTGAGTCGATTGTTTTGTTTTTTGTTTTTTATGATACTATATAAATAGTACAAATACTGCGTATTGTGTGATAAAAGAAAATTATAATCTTAAGCTGGATGTTTTATTAGGGAAGATATGAGCAAAGCTGTACAGTAACTATAGTTAAGCTATTAAAGATTAAGTTACTTGTTTAATAACATTATCTTGAAAATGTGTGACTTATTTACATAAATTAATTTATATTTTAAAATTAACTTTGACACAGCTTAGTTTTTTTTATATTCCTCCGGCTTCATCCCAACTAACAATGTTCTTTTGTATAAAATATTCTAGGTACTTAAAACTCTCAACCTCACATATTACGTCATCGCCTATTATCATTAGCTGTTAGTCTGTTAACCTTTTGTCCTATTCCTCCAAACTCATACTATATATATATATATATTCTCTGTTTTATTTCTATTTACCCTTATTTGATTCACCTTAGTTATTATTTATATATTTTAAGGATAACTTAATTTAAACTAGTCCAAAAAAATTGGTTAACTTGCCCAGATTTGGGCATGTGGAGTTATATAGGATAGCAATATGATGAACATTATATTATATTATTATATGCACTTGGACAAGAGAATAATAATTTATAGGTTATCGTGTTTATATATGTGCGTGAGGAAGATGATTTTTTCAAAAGACTATTAATAAAAACCACTCGTTTGTTTTTGTGCTTCTCGGGAATTTCGTTTCGTAAGATATATTGTTCTATTGTTATTCAACTTTACTCACGTCATCTTCATCTTCACGCACGCTGTTCATCCAAAAGCACATGGCCATGCATATGAGCACGGCGCCCGAAGCGACCAATCCCACGCCGATATACCGGACGGCCGGCACGGGTTTGGTATGATGGTCAGCCAATCCTAGCCAGTTGAACAAGGCGCCAACGCACACCAGCGTCATACCGAACCGGTACGGTCGTTGCGATTCTTCCGGCACAATCAACGCCATTTCCGGGTGGTTGTTTTTTTTTCCTATAGGTACTGGCAATCTATACAGCGCGATGACGATGGACCGGTTGTTGTCGCAACGCAGTTGCTTCTGCTGAAACACACAGAGTCAAATTAATAACATAGCTATGGTTAGGTTAGGAAAACGTGGAGTCTATGAGCGTTTTCATACATTTAAATTGTAAATTCCGCCCCCCCGCCCTTTCCCAATTTTTAATTGCACGTGAAATATAAAACTCCACAGACTCGATAATTTATCGTAGATATTCCTAACCGCCATGACATTTAGGTTTATGTACATGGCTTGAACTTACGACAAGTCATAAAATGCATTGTTCGTAAGTATAATATTTTATAGGCGTAATTGCATGATTTTAAAATAATTACTTTTAGTCGTATCTTATATTGAGTCGCCCTTTGAAGGCTTTAAATATGTAATTTATAACGAAAATAATGAGAATTTATCTAATAGGTTTAAAGTGAGAATCGTTTAATACCAATATAGCTTCATTGTTCCGCTCAGCAATATACAGTGAGGCAATAATAAGTGAAATTGCTCGATGAAAACACATACAGTTAGGTACGTTGTTAATAATTATATATTTTATTTGTTTGTTAACGCCAAGTGGCAGTTTTATAAGTAAAATGACATAGATAGTTTCATCTTAACAGAAATAGATTTAGATATTAACAAATAACAGACAAAGTGAAATTAAATACAATATAACAAAAATAAATTAAGTTAATATTATTAAAATTTAAATCTTTAAGCCTAAGACAGATATGGAACGAAGCTACGGTGCAGATGATGGTTATGACCATAAGAAGTGGAATGAAAAGGTATTTGGAAAAGAGTAGGTATAGTACTTATATATAGGTAGTTTGTATAATAATTATTGAGGTAGGTTCCTACATAATTATTTAAAATTTATCTTGCCATCATTTGAAATTAATACCTATAATGTTACTAAAAAAAAAAATTAAGATTGATTATCCACTTACTGAATATTCGCATAAAGGAATTATTGTATTATTACGCTTTTGAAAATATGTAAATACGAAGGTCGGTATTTAATACGAGATATAGGTAGGCGATCGATTATTTTCGAAGACGTATAATTATCAAATGAAATATCGTTATTATTCATACAGTCGATATAAGTATGTAAAAACAAATGTGTATAGGTATTTTTGAATATGAATACTGTAGTATTCTAGTAGTTAGTGCTCGAAAAATGTATTCAATAATGTAAATTTAACGGTCGGTGGAGGAAACCGCAGTATATATGTGAAAATACAATAAGGTGAATGAACCATTTTTTTTTTTTGTTTTAATGAAAAAAAAAGTAATTTTTTCGTTTTTGATTTGCTTTCCTTTTGTCATTTGTCACTGATACAGCACAGCAACAGCAGTCGACTGCAGGCATTTCATGGTATATACTTCAGATAGCTTCACGGTTCACTAATCGTAGCGCTTCACGCACTATTAGTACTTCCTAATAATTGTAGTCCATGTTAAAACCACAGTGAGCCACAGCTACGAGTACCAACTATTATTTAAAACTTATTTTATGAATATAATAATATATATGATGCTATTTTCTCCGATGTGAACTGCAAGCCACTATAAGTTGCCAATAAATCTATACGTTACGGATAATATTGAAAATTGAATAATGTAAAATTTTCATTCATTAAATCCAATTTCGTGATATTAATTTTAATATTTTAGCAAATTGGCCTATTGTCAACCTAAAGGTACAATAGTATCTGTTTTTTTAACGTTGGTTTTTTTTGATACTTATATTTTCAAGCGAAACACGAGCATGTGAAATATTACAATTTAAAAAATCTTTTTTTATTAAAAAACTAAAATACCAAAACAAAAAACCAATGTATAAACACAGCCAATTAATGTTTTTATCATAAGGTTTGATACTAGGTTAATTATATTAAAATTAATAACACAAAATTGAATTTATTAAACGAAATGTATACATTATCCGATTTTAATTTTAATATTATTAATATAGAGCTAACTTTTTAGTATTAATATTAATAATAAATATTAATTAATAATTATTATTAATAAATTATTATAAATATTAATTATTAATTAATAATTTCTCTGCAAAATATTATGCAAATACAAAAATGCGCATCACACATTTTAAAAATATTTCAAACAACTGATGTGGTATATCACATGGTAGTAAGAAAACCAATTTCTTGACTTTGTTTTATGTAGGTACATATTATGTTTTATTCTAACTTGGTTATTTTTGTTTGAATAACTGCAGAATTCACGTTTTAAACTTTGTCGGCGATATTGCTTAATTAACAACCGTAAAGTGGTTTTCTTTCTATAATAAATAAGATGGTTATAGATCATTTCATCTACACTTTGACTTTGTAAAACGCCAGCTTGTATTATTATTATATACATTAATACTTACGAATATAATACTATAATGTATAATGTATTATAAAATATACAATTGTTCATATACAGTATATATTAAGTATGATATTTATTCGATAAATTCATACTATTTGTATATACAAGATAAGGATATGTGGGATGTATTATTGTGTAGGCAGCGAGGAATATATTGCAGGTTTTATTATGATACGTTTGCATTGAACAACTTTTCTACCAGAAATCTATCCATTAAAAACACGACAAGACATTTTTTTTTTGTAGTGTTTAAGATCTTGTTTGCGTATTGAGGTAATTTTTTGACTTTTCATGCAGTTTTTCTAATAACTGATGAAAACGTACAAAACGCAGGATAAACGGAAAAGTTTACGGAAATAACGGCTTATTATTATTTTTTTTTGTAATTAGGCCAAGAATAATATTGTAGAGCCCTGAAATTTATAATAATGTGTTAAATTAGCCCTTTCTGTATGTGGTAGAATATGTACGAATATTTGTAAATAAAATGAATAATTGTAAAAATCACGGAATTTCAAAATAGGTTTAATATCGAACTTTGCTTAGAATTGCATTTCATTAGCAATGATTTATCATTATATAAATTAAATAACATTATATAACATTATCTACCTTGCCTTCTTATCTTCCCACCTACAATAGTCGTATATACATCAGCAGTATCAGCTTTTTAATTATTGATTGGTATTATTTTATTGATATTTGTAAAATATATTTAGTTTATACGTATAAGTGTTAATGAGTACAATTTTTTTAAAAAAGAAATAATAGACACATTCGTTGTTTAAAATAAAAATTGTAGCCAAGAATTATGCTACGAATAAATTTTGACAACAGCTCTAGTTAGATTTAAACTAATAAAACCGCATGTTTTATATGTATAATATTGCTGTATTCTTTACGGTCTTAACTGATATAGTTTTGTTCAAACTAAAATAAAAAGCTCTTTAAAAGACAAATGCGACATGAATATAATTGTATTATATTATTTGGTATATTTTCTATAAATTGACCAATATTTTCGACCTACTTTAAAAATAATGTATTGTTGTTAGTATACCTACTTTTGTACGCTCCTATTATTGTAATGGTATTAACATTTTAAATTTGATTTCACGCTATACGTGCAAGTTATTGCCAATGCATAATATATATTATAATTATATTATATTATATAATCAGTGAAAATCCGGTACATTTCAATACGTATTCCGGAAATATGGGTTTGACTAAAATTGTTTTTATTATCGTATTGTAATAATAGTATGAGTAGGATACCCATAATTGAATTTTTAAAAATAAATATAGTTAAAAATAATAATAAAAATACGGAAATATTTCGTACGGTGGGTGGGACACTGTTGTATGTGAGAAGCTAAGAAGGTAGGATATAAAGAAGAATTTAATGTACGATATATATGTATATATGTATGCAACAATCAATTATTCCTAATGAAAAAGAGTTAAATTTGGAGCTGTTTCTTTTATACATGTACGTAAAATTTTCCGTATTTCTTACGTTTTTTACGGGATTCCCCTGTAAATAAAAACCACAAAATAACCTTCATAAAGTATAAAATTTCTTTTCAGAAAAAGTACAACACTTGAAAATCAGAATAAGATTTCTGGTAGAAAAGATATTCACAGATAAAAAAAATTAAACATCATTGTAAAACCAATATACATTCCTCATTGTCACATTCCAAATCTAAAATAAATATTGTAAAATGAAAAAATTTGACAGATGAAATCTTTTGAATAGATATGGTTGTTACGAAAAAAGTTTCCAGAGAAAAAAAATGTATACACAATAATATTGTTTTATTTTATGATGATTTGATTAGTTCTTTGAGGTTCGATAAATACATATATGCGTATAGCGACAAAATAAGCGACCGGGTCAATCGCCTAGTCTTTCTTGTTGTAACCACCGTGCACGAATCTCGACTGAAATTAGATTCAATTTATTTTGTAATATATAATGTTGCGACTGTGATTACTCGTACACGTATATTATATTTTGGTCAGTCGGTCTTAATCTATAATTTATTATATTATTATGTGTCTATGATATATCACGACCCTTTAAATTCACGAGTTTCTGCAATTAATTTCATCGTACTATACTAATATTATGACCCAGATAAAAAAAAAAAAATGTAAAAATAGTTTTTTATGTAATACTGGTTTCTTAATTTAACAATGACGGGATCAGGGGTGACACATATTATTAGTGACAGTTGTTTTGGCCCACCTGTTATACTTATAGTATATTATTATAATATTGACGAACAATATCGACATTCGTAATCTTGACTCGATTTTTCGCGCCTATTACACTACCAATTTTCGCCAGTAATTTATATTATCGTTAGTTCATGTTTCACAGTTTGCACAAGGCTTTAGATAACCACTAATAATATGACTTCCAATGTTAGTGCATTTACATTAGGTAGTAGGTTGAAATCTCACGAAGATGAGTCATTTTGATTAATTCAAAGATTAAACTCTTCCCCCCTCCGGTAGAATTACCGTTCCACTATGAAACAGTTAATCTAACCTCGTTCTTTAAAAAAAATAACACATTTTCCGGCTATGTCGTTTAAAAGAAAAATAATCTGATATCACCCATTATTAATATAAATAACTGCAGCTTTTAAAACTTATTTTTTTTTAGAAAAGAGTATTGAATATTGCTTATGATATATCTTTTTTTCTTATCTGTATAAAAATGACAAATTTCCATTTATCGTGACTTATTCGATTTAGTATATATCATGCAGTTATGTGAATCTACCCGTTAATTAATAATAAAATATAGAGATTATTACGAAAACTCAACGTATATAACAAATATAACTCTAGGAAGGAATGTATGTTTTAAATAACTAAAAATAGGTACCTTGACCTTGCTATGACACATACCTACTTGCAACTATTAAAACCTAAATGCAATGAAGGCTAATAAACTTTTTTCACTAGTCGAACATATCGGATAGGGGTTTTTAGATTTTTTTTAAATATTTAATACTATTTGAAAAAAAAAATCGAAAACAAAAACCTAACTAAGGTTATATTTTTATGTATATTGAACTCAGTAATATAGGTAGGCACCTACCTACCTATAGTTTTTTGTCAGTTCGACATAATGACGGATAAAACTGCTAAGCTAAACAACTGTTTAAGTTATTTAATGCGATTTATTATAGAGTATTAAATGTATCATTAATAAGTAAGTAAACAGTATAAGTATAAAAGAACACATCGAAAATGATTCAAATTACCTGATAGTATAAGCCTGGCAATACAGCAACATAAGTTGTTCAACCGTAATAAGTTTTTCTTTAATGCTATACCTATACGTATAGGTAGGTGCCTATGCCTACTCCTACTATCTACCGGATAAGATAGTATTCATTTTTAACGCCCGTATACTAGATAAACCCTTTTGACTTTTCATGTGACATAAATAAAATACAGTAAGTATGGAGTACATGACTAGAACGGGTTAGGTTATAAACGTGATCATCACGTACGACCGAGGACTTGTGAGGCATCTGAATGGGCTGTAAAAAAATATATTTACTTACGTAGGTGTTTATAATATCGTAATGATATGGTAAGGAATTATACCAAGATATCTAACTATATACTAAACTTGTATTAATTTTATTATAATACTTGGTAATCTAAAATTCGACTAATTTATTTGATTTAATATTAGGTACTTATATACAGAGTGTTCCAATGTGTTCGACGAATTTTTCTAGAGCTGTTAATATTCAATTTGTTATTAATTTTTATTTTTCAATTTTCTTTAAGGAATGAATTTATTTAGAGACAAATTTGTATTTTCTTTCCCTGATTTATAAAAAAAAAAAATTATTCATTAGCATTACAAAATGTTAAATATATTTTAAAAATTAAAACATATCATACACACGTTAATTTCTAATCAATAATTTCTTAAACAGCCGCAGTTTTATTTTCTAGAAGGAAAATGTAAACAGTGAGACTATTGCGTAGTGCGATAGAGAATAACTTGATTTGTTTCGTGTTATAAATTGAAAATGTTTAAATTGAAAATTAATGATAGTTTATAATTATACCATATGATACATTAAAATGGTTAAAACAATATCTTTTTAAAAAATGAATATTTTGAAAATTGTATAGAGTGAGTAAGTAAATAGTTATTTTTTTTAGTGATTAGGAATAAAAATAAAAATTTAATTTGTTTGTAAAATTATGTTCTCCCCAATGAAAAGTAGATTGATTGAAAATAAAAAAATTTAAAAAATTGAATATTCTAGTTCTAGAAAAGTTCGTTGAACACGGTGGAATACACACTATGTATATATTAGACAAAATATTTCCCTTAATCGTTTGATTATTAATTATTTATTTATTCATGAAAACCCAACGTGCTATTTCCAAAGCTTTATTATACGTTTCCAGCCACACTCTTCATTTTAATCTTAAAGTGCCGTGTATTATCAAAACAGCCAAAATGCATTAATAGTCACTTAGTTCACGACAAAAACTCTTTGATCTCTGAACTGTTTTCCATCGCTATTCCTAGCTATTCAAATAAAACGCTAAAAAGGCATTGATGCCGTGATCTGCTAACCAAAATTTAATCATATCGTAGTACCTTTACTGGGAGGGCTCTAAATTCTGTATTTTAATATATTTTATTAATTAATTATTCTTGTTGATCCGCGTGTAACACAGATCACATGATGTTAAAAAATAATAATAATAAAAACATGTATGCATCAATAATATTATAATGTACATTTTATTTTATTCATTAATAAAAATCAAATAAATTTGAAATTATTTGAATTTTAAATATTTTTGTAAACTTGTATTTTTTTTTTTATGTATAGTTGCATTGACGCTTACGTAATACTATTAGGAGGTATCTTGACCATATTTAGCAATAACAAACCATCAAGGTACCTATATCGTTTATAGATAGATAAATTTTATTATAATCTATAATAATACATTGCAATATTTCTTTTTTGTTTTGTTATCAAACCGTTTGTAATAATACCTATATAATATCAATATGTTTAGTTTTGTATAATTTATAATATTCCAACAGCAACTACTGCTGCAATTTTATGTTCGGTAACCTTTATACATTTTTTATTTTAAACAAGCTCTGAAAGTATAATAATTAATAAAAATATTGAAAATATTTTATTCGTGATGGCATTGTCTAAATTTAACGAAACGGCGATAAAAAATTAAAACTTATTAAAATAAAATAATTATCGACCTTGCAACCTCAAAGCAGTCATTAGCCTTATAATAGGTAATGTAATATTATAGAAATAAGTATTAGGTAGGTAGGGTACCAACACGTTTTACTTTCATTTTATATTATTCTTTGTTTCGGGACGTTTAAGACGAACAGTTGCTTTGACATCCGGATAGGTTCAAGTTTAATTATCCAAGAGCAATATCTATTCTTAATTCCTTCTACATGTCTTGTATTTTATCATTTTACCATTGTATACATCGTATACCTAAGAACCAACAATCATACAACGTGATGTGATTCATAAACTACTTTGTTATACATATGTATATATACTACATGTTATGCGTCATGCCTCACATAAGATAACAACGATTTTAATCGTGTCGAGATTGGTCATCATCATTTGATATTACATAATAAATAAGTACTGCATTATATTGTTTACATTAGTCACGACAAAATGATATGTAAAATGTTACATTCATAGGCGCAACTAGACCACCAACTTTGGAGATGCTAAAATTATCGACACATCAAAGATCCATGGGGGTTATTTCCCCACAATCCCCTTTATTCGACAATAGTCAAATACACTTTTAATTTAAAATTTCATGTATACAAATTTATCATAACTATTTTAACACTATTTTTCATACACGCATGCATTGCCAGTAGGAAACCTGTATCTATTAAGGATAATTCCTTCCAATTCACTTTTAATTTTACTTTTCCCATATCTTCCTTTGCCAATATATCGTCATCTGAATCATCTTTCTAGTACCATTCTTAGCAACGATCTCCCTTTACACCGTATACTCCTATTCATTTTAGTCTCTTATTGCTATTATCTTCCACGATATTTGGATTCTGATAAACTCGTTATCTTAGTTAACTTATCGACAAATCGAAATAACATTTATTACCGGCTTGGATTTTAGTCATTATTTGACTATTTATTATTTCACCTAATATGAATACAAATTTCCGTTTCTTCTATTACGAAAATAAAAAAAATGAAACACATGTTATATTAGTGATAATATTGTCTATAAATTCTAAGAAGTAAAAATAGTTCCTAATTTTAATTGACTTGATCAATTCAGACTACACAAATGTTTTTTTTTTTAATTAAGTATCTCCACAAGTGTGAAATGATTGATGAATAACTCATTAAAATTTTTAATGTCAAATATGTATATATTTTCAAAGTATTATTCAATACAATTAATCAGTCATATTTTCAAATTAAGAATGTAAACAAATTATTTTGAGTATATTAAGTATTCACATGATATTCATAAAAGAAAAAAAAGAAACGCTAAAAGGAACAAGAAACAGGATCGAGTTATTTTTTAAAATAAGGAATGAGGAACGTGAACAAATTCCTTTTTAGAAGGAACTTTCCCAACACTGCCCATTCATATAGTGACGTTACATAGATATAATGGATTTGACTAGAATTTTTTTGTGTGATGAGACGTTCGTGAAATAATATGCAGCTAATATGATAATACGATTAATTTAATATTGATTAATTGAATCTTAGTATAATATTATAAATTATGGCCCTCGTCATAGGTATCAACCTTGTCCGTAGGAATCCATTTTGCCAGCTAGTACATACGCGCATATAATGCCGAGTAACGAAAAATAAATAATTGTAATGAAAGACATGTACTATTATAATACCCAATCGGTATCCAACGGCGACAATACAGCACACATTTGGGTAATATAATATTAAATTGGCCTTCATTTTTTTTGTCAGGCACCTATCAAAATTGGTGGAAAAAGTTTTTTGCTATAGACCTTATGTATATTGGTATGATGATCACTAATATGTATTGACTATTGGTATGTTATAGTATACATACTTTCTATAATAAAATGTTGTAAAAACGTATAAGATGCATCTATTTACCAGCCCCAAAGTTTTGTTTCTGTTTATTCCATAGTCTTTTTTTTTTAAACAGTTTGTCTTCAAAAATAATAATTGTATAAAATATATTTGATTAACTATGTAACTATACTTATAGGATAATAAACAATACCTATAATAGCTACGTTGTTAAAACGTAATATTATATTATGCGAATATCTATTGGTATTCCAAGGTTAACATCACAGATCTATAACCTATAAGACCATTAAGACCTACGGTGTGTATAATAATTTCGGTCGTAGAACTTCCTTATAATTATCACAAAAAAAATTATAGTGGATTTTTTTCTGTTTAATTTCAATATATTTTAGTCTCCATAAGATACACTACGAGTACTACGATATACAGCTATAAGTATTACTTTTGTTATAGTAAATGTAGAAAATTGAAAAAAAGAAGAAATCCCTTCTTAAAACAAATAAACTGTTTTAATTAATAATTATTTTGTTATAATTAAACGGATATATTAATTTATTACTATTACTACTTACTATATTATTTATAGTCATAGAGATTAGTATCAGTTATGTCCATCATCTATCGATTATGAATTTATAGAATAGTACGTTTCTACATAGGCACATAATATATTTTACATTGACGGTACCAAACATAATTTGAACAATCAAACAAATATTATGCCTAGCCGTCCGTATGAAAAAATATCTTAACCTTGAACAAGCCAAAACATGATTAATTTTCAAAATTCTTATTGCAATTCTAGTATCGATTCAACTTGGCAATCTGACGTTTTTAAATAGGTATTCAAAAGTTAACACTGTAGCTGGTTGACACAGTATAATAATGTTATAAACATATTAACATAATTATAGAGTTGCAGGTGTACCAATAAAGATATTTACCTTAATTAATGTCATTTATTTGTTTACTATCTCGAGTGCTTATATTTTAACAAAGACGACTAATATTATCAATAGTCTTCTCAGATAAAAATGAATTAGTTGCATAATATTATTATAATATGTAGTACATAGTATATACTAATTATTATTATAATTATATTATATAGTAATATACCTATAATGATAAATCGTGTACCTAAACTGGTGTTTTATAAAAGGACGCCACACCCGCACGGTATACTGCTGTTGTATCTTCGTATCTAACGAGCAGTATAATATTATAGGTATTAATAAATTACATTATTAAACAATTGTGTAGGTTTTTTTTGGTGGGGGGGTAAATTTAGAGTTTAAACACCTAGGATAAACCATTTGAGGATGCAAGGATATTTGCCTAGGATCGTCGTGGATATCTACCACATATAGCCTTTATTTAAAAACATAAGCAGTTAAAAAAAAGCTGTAAGTTATAAAGTTTGGAACATTTGTTTTTTTTTAACTCGTATAGATAGATCACTGCTGTAGTTCTACGTTTTGTCTCACCCATTAGATAAATAATACTAATTTTATCCTCTTAAATACAATATTTAATATGATTTAATGTTATTTATTGAAAGCTAACCCATGAAATAATGATACTGTGCATACGATACAAATATTATAAATATAAAATATAAACATAAAATATTATAAATAAAAATAGAAATTAGAATTTGATAGTTTAATCAAGTACCTAAAAAAACTGAAACATTGGTAGAGATTGATGATTTACTCATGGAGGGTATTTCATAGTTTATGTAAATGGTTTTTTGTTGATATCAATTATAGTTAAAATGTACTTTCTTCTTTTCTTTAGAACAGAGGTACGCATTTTTTTTAAAAAAAAAACATTTTTTTTAACATTTTAACATAAACATTTTACAATGTAACATTTTTTTCGCGTACCATTTATGCGCATTATGGATCTGACGTTATATACTACGTATGACTAAAAGTTAAACTATTTGAAATGTCTATACAATTATTTAAAAACGGTATACGAGTATAAGATAGTAAAATAAAACAGGAATACAATAAATATTATTTATAAAGTTTTTTTTTAAATTTGTCAACAAATTTTACACAAAGTATAAAATAATATTAGATCCGTTAAAAATACTTGTACAAAATATGTATGAATTTTCTGTACTAACACCACTTGCCTACCATGTATTACCAATGGTAGGCGTACCACAATTTGAAAACCGCTGCCTAAAGTTTATCAATTGGATAGGTACCTATAGTGAAGTCTCGGACTAATAACTACTAGGTAGGTATATTATTTGAAGTGATTAGTAAATAAATTATTTTTAATCATTTCTAAGCAATTGGATGTATTATGACTAATATACTATTGATATGATTCAACAAAATATTTTTGATTAGGTATAAATTACTACATAAGAGAGGAATATAATACTGTACTTATAAATGTATATAATAATAGGTACGTGATTTTTTGTATTGAAATTGTTTTGTAGTAGGTAATTTTTATTCGTAAAATAAAACCGAAAAACATATTTACCTCAATATACTATAATATTCGTGTAAAGGGGATAAATTGTTTAAGATTACAATTATACTAACACGCAGGTGGTAATTTCATTATAAAAGATCATACCGAATTATATACAATAGGTAAGTTTTAAGTGTAATATATTTTACTATAACTATAATATACTATAGTTATTTTATTTGTATTTCAAACCTAACATCATCTATAAATCATGTTATAAATAGTTTAATATTTATATAAGCGTAACTAATAACAATATTACTTATATTTTATTTGTATCAAATATTTCTATATGCCTTAACTTTTTAAAGCTTTTATTAAAAATAAAATATTTGTTTATGTTCTTTTAATAAAAATCAAAATCTATATAATTAATTACAGCGTAATGTTAATCATTTTTTTATAATAACTATATTGGCGCAGACATAAATTATATAATAAATATGTATTGCGTATGCATGATCACAGATTTATACATTTTGGCAAACATATTACGTTAGTGCAAAACAAAAATTAATGATACCGATGAACACTAAAAAAAAAAAAAATTATAATAATTAACTATAAAACTTTTTTTTTTTTTTTGAAAACATGCTATGCATTCAATGCATTCAATTCACCAGTTGATATCTTGATAAAATATAACTGAGAATAATACAATTGCATTGATTGTTTCTTTAAAAAAAATATATATATTTATTATATTATTATAGTGATCATATTATTCTTTATTTCAACTGCATCATTATTGTTGCACACAAACTGGAATACCAAAATATCATTAAGTACCTATATACCGTTAAAATGAAGGTTATTTTAAGTTGACTATAATGTTTGAAATATCGTCTGAAAATGACAGCTATAATAAAATATATAATATCGAATAAACAAGTATAATAGGTGGTATAAACTGTACATTTTATTGTTCTGAATTTTGTGGCTATTTAACACGATAATATGAGTGTTAAACTGTAACAAGACTTATATTTTGATAAAATAAAAATTATGTTTGCTAAATTTGATGTGCTGTTATAATAATGCTCAGTCTTAAATAAAATTCGTATCATTAAATGAAAAATATAGGTATTAAATGTAGGAACAGGTGTGGTGTACTCGTATTTACGCAAAATCAATTCAAATAAGTAAAACAAATCTTATAAAACTTTGTAGAAAAAATGAACATATTTTACTTGTATATCGTGTATATCCAAATAAAAGTTTTAATCATCTTTCAATTCAATCGTGATAAATTAAAATTTAACACCCTGTATGAGCAATATGATCATTACGCATTTAACGAAAACTAACCATTTATTCTAAACAAATGTAGTTAAGTACCACTTTTAAAAAAGTTAAAAGAATAGTGGAAGAACGTGGATTTTGTATCCAACCGAAATCTTAAAAATCATAATTAACACATACAAAATGCATATGGGTACTTAGCTGCCTATTGCATAATATTATAATATAATTTAGGTACTTAAGTATTTATTTTTAAAATAATGTGTAATTTATCTTTAACGTTAAAAGTCTATATAATTTATTACCTATTCCAATAGATAATAGCTTAGCTATTTACAAATGTATTGTATTAAAGTATCTGTAGTATATTTGAAATTTGTATTTGTAATGTAAAAATCATATAATATATCGACTAAAACAAAAAGCAGACATTCTTTTTAGATAATAGTTAGTATACACGTACTGTTTTGTTTTAAATTAACAAAATGACAATGATAAATTATTGCATTTGAAACATTTTTGAGTACAGCTTAGAACATGAATGTTAACCTGCAGTTGTTAATTTTATAATTTGTTGCCATTTTCTAACCCATTCGAAGAGCGTAATCTTTAAAATATCATAATATTGAGTTAAAAATGAGGTTATAAAAATATATCATTAAAGTTGCTGAGTTGCGTGTTCAATGCAAGAATAAAAAAAAAAAACATTTACGCGTGAAAAAATACCGCATCATAACAGAATTTATAATAAAACCTACCATCGCTTCGCTTAGTATCAAATTCAATAAAATACCGTCTACAATACGAGTACCTAGATATTGCTATATTCGATGCATATATTCAATTAAATAAATGCATATTATATTAGTAGTAGTGTATTAGTACTTAGTACAGTAGATATTAGTGTTATACCTATACTTATAATAGTATAATAATGAAAGAGGCGAATAATTTCAGTATTAATTAACAACAGCTGCAAATATAATATACATAATAATACATGCATAACCACTAACTGTAAACATATTTTATTACTTTCGCTGGCTTTTTATTGTTATTATTTTTTTTGAAACAATAATACTTACCTACCAACAAATTAATCGGAAAATTTAACTGACGGTTCATTTTTTTTTTTTTTCTATAAGAGTTACATAGAAATTCTACGTTCCTATGTTTAACACTTTTAATCTGTCGATACAATATGATGATGAACTTTCAAAAATCATTATATTATTTACTGAACGTATGAAATAATTGTATTATCCTTAATAAACAAAACGGGTCGCAAATAATAATGCCTAAGATAATAATGTCTCGTTATACAATTAAAAACATATTAAACATTATTTTATTCATCAAATCGTTTTTTATTAGCAAAGATTAATCGTTGCGTACAGATGTACATTAAATTCCCCTCTGTACCCTACCTTCCCAACTTCTCACCTACAAAAGTAGCCCACCCATCATGCGAAGTATTTCCGTATCTTTTTATTTTATTTTTATTTGTTTTTCGCATTATCTTTGGTGAATATATGATATTAAAATTTACTCATTGATAATTGAACAAATATAAACATTAATCCGTTTTATTTATATAGGTAGGTATCATTTTGAGTAAGTATCAACAAGTGCAGATAGCAATATCTAAAAAGTTCTTTGTTAAAATTATATTTGTGTCATTATTTTAAAAATATTTAATATTAGTTATTACTACCTACCTAACTACTTAATTATTTGTTTTTATAATAGGATTAGTAACAGTGTATATTTTAGTCGATTTAGACCAAAAATATCGATGAAACTTTACAAGTTATGTTTAATGGGTTTAAAAGCTGATTATAATTCTATTCATTCGTTTATTAGAGATGCTGGAACTACAATTTAATTATTTTAATAGAAATCATAAAAAAGTTAATTGGATTTTTGAAACCTTTAATCAAAAATGTACTTGAAGTAATTTGACCTTTATATTTATGACTAAAGATTGGAATTGAATACAATAATTATTAAATATGCAGTATAAAATTGAATTATTATTATTTAAAATGTATTTATAATAAACTAAATTATATTATAATATATAGTAGTATAGTATATAATACTATAATATACTAATACACCTATTACATTAATTGAAAGCAAAATGTATACAATATGCAATACACGAAAATGATATAAAACGTTAAAATGTTAATTACAAATTGTAATAGTATTTTATTAGAAAACTACAAGTTACTACAGCGTGGTCCATATTTTTTTCTGTGAAATTATATTTTCGATTTGTACAAATATAGATTAGATACGTTCTAGACGTAGAATTAGATTGTGAACAAAAAATAATATAGGCCGATACTAACCCCTACGTAGACTAAATCCATACATGAAATTAGATTAAATAAAATGTATGTATTGCAGGTACGTCCTGGTGCATACACGCTGATAATCTAAGATAGATAATACCAAATTACAAAATTTCTATAAGTTTTCATAATTGAAATCTATCAAACGCAATTCTTACAGTTTTATCTGGCTTTTCGATCAATAACGTCATAAATCCGTTCGTAAAAACGGTCATATCCTTTTCGCTAATAATATAGAGAAGTAGATTGGTGGAAAAATATTATTAACATTAAGGTGGTCATTAAAATGTAAACAAATTTTAATATTTTCTCTAATTTCGTAAAATCTGGACAATAGTCACATATCAACTAATATACATTAATTTCAAACAAATAATTATAGAGGAGAGTATTTGATAAACGAAATTGCTGTTTGCATAATTTGTAAAATACTAAGAAATAAGAGTATTTGTCATATATAGGAATGTCGATTAATTTATTTTCATTGTTAGTGTTTAATAAACTGATAAAGATAAAATATTTTCAAAAACTAATTACTACTCGTAGTTTTGGCGAATTATTATTAATTATTATCATAATAACGGAGTGCATCGCTAGACTTACGCTAAGTCATTAAAGTCGGTATAGTATAACACCGTTATACTAATTACTGTTGTTGATCGTCTGGAATTAAACGTAAATAAACTCGTAGGGTATTATTACTCTGGAACTGGGTATTGGAATTCTAGTAACTATAATTTAATACTGAATATGATCAAAATTAAATACTTAAAATATCTACTATTTTCTGGATTTTAATGAGCTTAGTATATATTTCCATTAAATCATAATAATATTATTAGAGAATAATCAAATAATGTAGTTATGCACAAAAACATTTAGTAAAGGTTAAAATTAAGAACCTTTCGATTAAGGTGTGTTTATATTTTGGTACCAAGACGATCAAATACAAATATTTGTTAGATACCGAACACATTTGATAAGTATTATAGGGCCTATTGTTAAAAAAGGCAACCAGTAAATTTTCACTGGAATGCCCTATTTCGGTAACATGTTTAAGTGTATAAATATTAATTAATACCCAGTTATAATATAGTAAATTGTATACCTAAAATATAATAGTCTATTATATAATGCTTCAAGAGGGGGAGGTTGCAAAATTTTGTCCAGGACATCAAATGGCTTAAACAAAAATTTAAACAAAAAAATGGGGTGAGCACGTTTAGTAAATCACTCTGTATTAAAAAGAACAAAATAAAACTACTGTTATACAATGACGTCATTTGTGGGGAGGCAGGGTAGGCATTTGTTCCCTTCTATCATTAACAGGCCGCTGTCGGGCCGAGCATGGGCTAGTTTTGTGTCTTAAGCCGTAAACATCAATTATGTCATTGCTAAATAAAATTTAACCCTTATTCATTCGTGGCTCGTGCTAATACGTAAATAATTATAGGGTACCTTTATCCTACTATTTCTAATTTATGCAGATTAAAAGTGAATTATATATAATTATATTGAATTGTTCTTCTATTATCTATGAGTATGATAGATTTAAATCAAGCTGTTGACACGTTTGGACTAATGAAAACTATAGATACCCTGTTATTGCCTAGCTCATATAAATCACTAATAAATATTTAAAAATGTATTGTATGTTTTGTTTTTTTTTTTAATATATTTATACTCTTCACACATTTTTGCCGCAAAATAAGTCTTCATAATAATATAGTAGTTAATAGATAATATATTTAGATATCCTTCTACATATTATTCATTTATTATTAAGTCATTGTTTTCTCTTAAAAAAAAAAATGGATTATTTATGCCTATGATAGCAAGTATAAAATAATGTAAAAAGGCTATTTGTATTGAGATAAAAACGTAATTGAGGCACTTAGACACACAAGAGGTATAAGTGATATTTCAATATTTTATTGATTTCGAGAATATTACTCTTAAAATAATTGAACTTGTATCACTTTCCATGTAATCCAGAATGGTTAGGTTAGAAGCTCTTAACATACTTAGTAAAATATTTTAAATAAAATGTGGTATTTTTGTGTATGATACAGTAAGTTTAAAATCATGTATAAAGGCTATATTTGTATTGAGATAAAAATTAAATTGTAAGGAATAAGTAAGTGAGTGGAGCTTGTGGTTTTTTCAGTTTTGATATGGGCCGGTCAAAACTTTTGCCCCTCCTCTAAAAATCTGAAATGACGTCACTGATTACTCGCATCATAAATTGTTTTTTCTTTTGATCCCCTCAAACCGTGTGTATAGTTTAAATCGTAAACTCAGTAAACAGTAATAATATGAAGACATAATATCATTTATTAATATTGTTATTGTTACTTGTTAATAATAATCAATTATATTATAATGTGCAATAATATTCGTATTATCGAGTATAATATTATTCAATTATCGTGTCAAATATATTCACTCTCGAATCTTCTTCAAATTTCTAAGATAAGCGCTCGTCACGTCACTGATTCCGAAAAAAATGCTTTGATATTAATATTACTTTCCGAAGTAATGAGTGTTTGGTGATAAAAAAAAATTATCCTGTTGATAAAATGTATTTATATAGCAATTTCTTATTTATTTTGCATACACGCATGTTTTCAGAGTAAATGACCGTGATATATAATTATTGTAATACATGATACAGAGTGAACTGGGTTTTACCGGTCAAACTCAAATAATACAAAGTCGCATTGTCAAACGAAATTGAAAACCAAATTTGTGTACCTACTTACAATTCGAGTTATTAGTTTTTGGTATTTGAGAAGCTTTAATATAAAACCACTGCACTCAATTTGTAATTTACAATATAAATATTATACAAAAAACAACATTATTATTGATCGGTATACTGTAATTTTTTAAATTTATAAAAATTTAGACCGGTTAAATCCGATGTGCTCGACGTATTCCTCAAAGGTCATCGAATAAATTACGTATAATTTAACATCGAAATAAAAGTTCTTAGAAAAAAAAGTATACATTATTTCTTTTAACTAAGTATAAATAGCTTCATGCTAAAAATGTAAAAAAAAAGTTCTATAAAACACAATATATGTTTACAATATGTCGTGTACGATAAAATGTGTTCACTTTCAACGTTACATGTAACATACGTATCCACCAGGTGCGATTGAATAGGTATACGTATTTACCCATATACCTAGGTAGATACACAAAAACATACGCAAATCATTGGGAAAAATATATTCCGACAGTGTCTTTACGAGTGTAATGACAAATGCTTTCAATATCAAAATTGCATATTTACCGTAACACGTAAAAGTTAGATATAAAAAGAAAATAACTTATGTTCGTATTTAAGGTTTTTCTTTCGTAAAATTGCAACAAAAAAATACTAACCTACGTACAATCTACATCATATTGTAATTTAAATATACTATGCTGTTTTGTGTGTATGTGTTTTGGCAACATATCAGAATAATTAATAGCCGGAACACGTTTACGCAATCACCCCCCAAGTCCATTGTTTTCGAGGTGGAGAGTTAGCGAAAATATTATATTTTGTTTAGATAGCAATACGTTGAATCATCGCATTCGGGAAACGATTCTGATTGGTGCAAAGAGTTTGAAATTAAAATCAAATATTATATAGACCGAGGAAACTGTTGTTTTTCCGAATCTACCGAGTCTAATCACAAAAAATGACATTATACAAGTTTAATATTTTTTATTTTAGTAAATTAAATAAATAACATTCAGTACAATTAAAGTTACCTAACCTACCGGTTGGATTTAGTTTAATACTTTTTTTCGTGTTCGAATTATTTTATTCGGCAGTATTTAAATAAACGAATAGTTATAGTGACCACACACACACACACTTTATCTAAATCGCAAATACTTAAGTTGTAAAACCGGGTTTATTGGTGTTTCATTTTGTATTCAAAATCACGTTTGCATCTATCATCAATTCGGATGCGTTTCCTACCTAACCTTACCTAACCAACCTACTATACGCCAAAATTTAGCTGTCGTTTATCCATTTAGACGGGTAGATATTACTTCTAAAATATAATTATACAGCGTAAAATATAATATAATAATATTATAATATACACGCTGGCTAGAGCAGAAATTTTATTTGAATATACATTTTGCAAAAGTTATAATTATAATAGCTTGTTTAAGTGTTCTTTTCTAATTGGGCGAAAGCCCGTTTTATCATAAATAAATATTATGTGACATTTACACATGCCACGATATTATCGTAATAGACTTTTTTTTTTTAAGTATAGATTTATCAATTAAAACGATTAATTAAAAAAAAAAAAAAAAAATTGGACATGCGTAAGGAAATTACATAGAGTTTTCGCGACTTTCTAAGAAGGAATAACAGTAAACAACCAATCTTATTAGAATTTAAAAGACGCGTATAAGTGATTATTACGTACCATGGTATAATTTTTTAATCTCCGAAACAGTTAAAAAAAAAAGAACGCCGTATAGCTACATTGTTCAACATTGCAATAATATACCCAACTATGTAAACCTAAATTTGTTTTGTTTTTTTCTGAAATCGAAATTTTGTCAGCCACAACGTAATTTTAACTACATCGTGACACATTCGCCCAATTTCGTATTACGTATATCATTCGTTATTTTATAATTTTAATAAGATAACATTATTATTATTTTTAATATTACTGCGTGCACCGAGTACCTGTCTACCAACCGACCTATTTATCATTGTTGTTTATAATACAATATTATTATGATATTATTTTCAAATAAAGTAATAATATTAAATTAGTTTTAATAATAATTTAGTATTGTGTTTGAACTATTACTACTGTACAACTGCATGCACAATGATGCACTATTGTTGTAATTCAGTAATCCCGTGCACGGTCTTATAAACAAGACCACAGTCCCGTGTAATACATATAGGTACCTACGTTAATGTTTTTGTTTATTGACACGAAATTTACGTGATGATAATAATGCGTTTGTCACCGATTTACGAAAAACGTATCAGCCGGTTGTTATAATATTGTACAATTCAATCGTTTAAAACAATTTTCGTGCATTATAATAATGATATTAAAATTATGTACTTTAGGGTTATAAACAGTTTTCGAAAAATCGACAAGAGTATCGTCGTATTTACATTTTCCGACGATAATATTGTAACATTTCGGATTTTAGTTTATCGTCAATTCGATTAAAACGCTGAAACATAGGTACCAACGTTATTGGAATGAGTAGGCAGGTATACAAATCGTACTTACTTTTGGAAAAAAAAACAAAGTACCTCGACAAGTCCAACTCGCTGATATTACGTGCAGAGTGTTATAATAGGTGGATATATTATCACGCAAAACGCCGTTTATCGATATTATATTATTTGTGTACTATACAGCGTACGACTCGGAAACGGAACAAACACGTGAGATTTTTTTTTCGTTCAGGTCGTAGGAAAACAATTTTTCACAAATATTATATTAATCGAACACAATGTCAGCACAGTGGTGTTAGGCACCCGATACGATATTACGATAAATAATAATAATAATCGTACGCGACAGAAATAAATATTATAACAATATTGTTTTGCTGATAAACGGGTAAACGCGAAATAATATTACGGGGGGCGCACACGTTAAGACTTGAGCATCGACAAACTATTTTCGAACAGGGAGAAAAAAATTATATCGAAGAGCGCGCGCGCAAGACCATCGGACGACGGCGGTCTGTCCGTCACTGAAATGAACCAGACGTCGGCGTGTTCGTCGCCGGACTACCCGCGAAACAACGTGGTCGTGGTAGCGTTCCGCCGCGGCAGTGCCGGTGTCGGTTATAACCCGGTAACCCGGTAACGGCTTGCGGCAATCACGATACGGAGTCTACGCGCGACGATAATAACGAGCGTCGCGATATACGTAGGTACCTGCGCGCTGACCGCAGAGTCGTACTGCAAAGCGTCAATCACAGAGTGTGATTTTACAGGCGCATGCAGGTATTTTTTGTTTTTTTTTATTCGATCTATCACGCACAGAACAATACCCGATAACATATTATTTATTTAGTTAACGTTGCCATGCTCTCTGGATATAAATTAAAATATCAATTTTAATTTTAACCAACAGTAAAAAAATAACGACAATAATAATCTCTACCTACACATATTAAATAACATGACCTAAGTCCTGACTAACCAATTCATCATTTTAGGATGATCAAATTTAGTCTATAGTTTCGTTTTATGATGCAGAGACCTACTAAGTAAGGATTTTCCAACATTCAATCCCTAAGTGGGTTAAAAAGAGTGAAAATGGAAATTGTTATTCTTTAAAGCTACACAATCCCTGAGTATTAGCTGTATTTTATCTCAACATTTATCCGATTAGGTTTGTCTCAAACGTAACACTTTGTCTGAAAATATAATTTTTTATGGCTAATTTCTGGTTGGTTTGGTAAGGTTATAAGGTTAGGTTACATACATATGGTATACCGGGTAACCCGGGTACCCAGTCTAAAAAATGAAATACATTTTGAAATAATAATAATTTGTTATTGTATGTAATTTTTAATTCAACTTGCTATAAAATTATCATTTAAATCAAATAACTAACTATATCGGTATATAGGTCAGTAGTTATTTATTTTATTTTCTGTGTAGGTACTAATCTAACTAGTAACCTTATTCAGTCATAGAGTTTGTTCTAAACAAGAAAAAGTAAAGAAATTTGAATTTAAAAATAGGTGGTCATATAAATAATAGATACAAAGAAAACGGTCATGAAGGAGATATATCTCTCTAATCCCCTGATCCCGTGAATACGTTACTGCTTCAAACTATATATCTGCTGTAACAAATAACACCACGATGGTTTGATATTGAATATTGTCTCTGAATGTCAATAGAAAAAAGAAAATAATTACAGGGAATTCATGATGCATGAGCAAAAAAAAATATCAAGGGAGATATGATACCCTCATCCCCTTACTGTGAGCACGTCCCTGGTATCTACAGACGTATAGTACGCTTATAACACATACAAAATCAACTTAATTCGAATGTTACATTAATCAGGATTCATGATAAATAAACACATTATCTCAAGAATAGAGATTGTATTATATGAGTAGTATCAGATAATTGTTAAAACCTATTTAATCGTGTGATTATTGCGTATTATATTATCTTTATATTGTTTAAATGGATTAACGATAGTGCTTATTTATTTAGTCATGATATTAATACATCTATGGTTTGCAAAAAAACGTACGTACGTAGGTATGTTTATAGGAGATCCGCAACTAGATTATTGTATAGATGCAATCTAGGTCTATCTGTAGACCAATAGACTTATCACCCCATGTCATTCATAATTCCCCCGAAAATGGCGGGCCAGGAGTCCAGGAGCACCTCTTCAACACTTTTCACTGATTAGTAATCTAATATTTTACATATAATATAGGTATATGTGCCATAAAACAGTATTGTATGGCACAGATATCTCGCCACGCCGTCTCGGTGCAAGCGTAACACCCGTGTACGCTCCAAAACGCGTCTCGTTCCGTTATGATAATTAATAATAATTAATAACAAAACCAACAAAAACGTGTAGTATATGATTAATGGTAATGATGATAATAATATTATTGTAGTAATTAAAAGGTCGGAAATACTTCGTACATTGAGTAGATCGATGTCGTAGGTGGGAAAATAGGAAAGTAAAGGTTGTAAAGTAGTTTATTTATAATATTACTATTTTCTCGAATTGTTGAGCATTTTTATGTATAATTTCATAAAAAGCTATATAGGTATTCGGTTAAGATGTTAGGTCTCTACAATTATTTTTAGCTAAAATTAAATTACAACATAAAATAAAATAGAAAATAACAAAACAATTTTACCAGACAACTAACTAAACTAGACAAAATTCCCTACCAGAAACTACCCATGAAGTTAATGGTCGGAGCATGTTTTGCGGTAATAAAGTTATTTACACATTGCCGAATAAGTATGACTATTTAAAATTTAAAATTTTTCATTTTACTTTGTAACCGGGTGATTAATTTTTCTTGTCAATTTCTAGTGTGCATCTGGAACCGGTTTGTTTAGTTGACGACATCAAAGATTTTTACTTATTGCACAAAATGTAAAAATTTATCGGACTATTCAATTGACTCGGATAAATGGTTATTTTTTTTTTGTGTTTTGCAGCATCGCCGCATCGGTACAGTCATCAGTTTTTACATTTTAGTTGACGCACAGTACATTATTTTAGATTAACTTTTCAGCTGACGCAGTGATTTTATCAGCAAACAAACAGTGTTTTTAAATTTTTATTTCAACCACGTCATCGAATTCTCTTGTACATTATGTGACGATATTTTATAGCCAGAGATCAGAGATCAGTTGATAAAATGCTTCTGTGAAAAAAAAATGTACTCATTCAGCCATATTAGTGAGTATGAATATGATTATTTAATAAACGATACAAAAGTTTGGAAGTGCAGTATGTAGATAGTAGATGTACGAGATATTTAATAAACAAAATGGATCTATATTAATATAGTACCTGCAAAAACTCAAATAATAATTAATGAAATCATAAATTATAATGGTATCAGAAGCTTTCACGTAAAATTCCATTTTAAAAGGTGGGAAATTTTCACGGAAATTAATAATTAATTTGTTTATTTTCTAAAATAAACAAAAATATCTTCGGTTAAAAGTATAGTACTATAGATATAATACAATGTCTAACATGTAACCAATGATAAGTATTTAAATTACATTTATTTGAATACATGTATTCGAATACTTTATAACACTGCAGTAATTCAACAGATACGATTTAGTATTTAATATTAATGTAATATACCTATATGATTTATTGTATTTTCATAAGTGATAATCTAAAGTTGAAAAACTAATGAGCAATGACGTTCTAAATTAATATTAGAAATGAGATTGTGCCGTTTTGGTAGTGATGACTCGTAATTATAGTCTGTTATTTCCTTTTTTTTCATAAAAAAAAAAAATGTTTCTATTTCGAAGAAATACAAAATGTCATTTTGTCCTCGCCTATGATGACCTCGCTGCATCTTCTATACTTTTAAATCGACTTGACAGTACGCACCGCAGTTACTAATAGTAGAACCTATTGTCTAACCTTATTGATTGTTATAATAATATTTGATAATAGATATTATTATAAAAAAGATTGGCGTGGTACTATGATTATAAAAATGAGGTCTATTATATTTTACAGAAAGATTAGAAACTATCTATAGTATGTGTCTATACATAGATCCAGTAAATGTTTGACAAACTAAAGAGGTATACATCCATGTTGCACCATTAAAAAATAATAAATAAATACACTTTTACAAAAATTATCTTAGTGAACTTAATTATGTGTCATAATCATGATGAATCAAAGTTACGGTTATAAACAAAACAATTGCATGAAAAATAGTAAACCCATTTCGATCGATTTTTATAAATATGTTATATGATACATTATTAGTAAACCTCCTTAAAGGTAAAATCAGAGCCTGGACACTGATAATAAATAATACAGTTAATTTTATACGTATCAGCCTTACTGAACTATGCCTATAAATGTTTACTTCAGTTATCAACCCTCTTTTATTTTAAATATTTTAAGTAATATGAATTGTTTTTATAATATTGTATAGAACATTTAATTTAGTAAATTTAAAATATTTTATATAACATCATATTTACTATTCATTTAAGGTAATTTTGTATCGGTATTATTTAATTTGAAGCGCCATATTTTATTTTGCGATTTTCGTTTAAATTTGATTTCAAAACACTATTAAAAAAAAAAAAGTCATCCGATGATTTTGGAAATTTTACTATGTCTAGGTAAGTCCAATATAAATATTATTACCAAGTTTCAAGTCTTTACGTGTATTTATAACCGATTTACAGCAAATAATTCCCAACAATTAAAATACCTTAAAAGCTCAAAAGTGGCTCAAAAGTTTTGGCTTAATACCGTAAGAAAGTAAATCAAAAAGGCAACAAAAAAAATGTCTTGTACATTTTCGATTAAATCATTTTTTCTAGTGGAAAACGTCATCCGTATTTTTATAAAATAATGAAATCGTGAAATTGTACGTTTTCCTACGTTTTTTCCCACTTAAATGCTTTTATTTAAAAAACGGAATCGAAAATCAAAAAAATGACATCTAAAGTACAATCAAGACATTTTGAGTTTTCAGAAAAGTTGCTACGGAGCAAGCCTACTAGGATAAAACGTATCCACTGACTAGAAAAATAAAAAATAAAAATAAACATCTTAGGAAAACCAATAGCTCCCTCACTACGTTCGGAATGTAATTCATGTAATTTGTAATACCTATATTTTGATTATTTGTTACATAATTATAATGTTATAACTAATAATCTATTATGAAATAATATTTAAATTTTTGTTGATAACCTTTTTTTTTTTTTTTGACCACACGGAATTGAGAAAACCTGGCACTCATGATCTTATCTAAAATGTTCAATGAGACAAATAATAAATGAATAATCTCTAATTCTATACTTGACTTACGATTAATACTTAGGTATTCATAAAATACAGTTTAAACATAATTTCGCATTATTTATTATACACCATATTTCATCTAGACAAATGTAATAAAATTCTTTGTTTAATAATAGTAGTAGTGTATATTTCATTATCACATCAACGACATTACATTAATAAATATCTAATGATAGGTAGGTATATAAAATTGTGGATGATGCTGCCCTAAAAAGAAAACTTTTAATACAGTACA